CTCTAGCTCAGGGGCCTGAGTACCCTGGGGATGACCGGTATCATATACTGTAATATATTTGGGTGGCTTGTTCCTTTGCTTAAACACTTAATTTATTTATATTAATTCCACATTAGTAAAATCTTTAGGTTCAGTGACAAGACCATATCTTGCCAAAAGCCCTGGGACAGAGTAATGCAACTGCAGAGCCTCTTTATAACTCTTGTTTGTCATCAAACAACAGAACACTCACCACACAGTATGAACATGTTCCACACCATGAGATTAACACATCATGTTGACTTTGTTGCCTCACTTCAAGGTAACAGGAAACAAATGCTATCTTCTGTGTCAGCTACAAATTATGGCTATTCTCAATTCCATTGGAACAAATTCCTGTCTAGCGAGGCCTCACAGGGACCCAAATATTTTTTACTTCTCCTGTGTATTGAGAGCTTGCCTTCTGGGTGTCAGCCTGTACCTACCTGTGCCAGACTTGGCCAGCCTGAGTGCTAAATGTTTTTTGAAGATCAACATTTCAGTTTGCTGGTGACAGTTTCCTGCAGGTAATATCTGTGCTATAATGGCAATGACACATTTAAATACTTAGGATTTACTTTTCTCCATGAAGTCAGTGTGCTACTGGCAGAGTAGCTTGGATTACCGAACCTGACAAGTGTTCTCGCGTTCTCTCTTCTTTCTGCTCTTGTCCTCCCCAACAGGATTTTGTGTAAGCACCCTCTGACACTTCTAATTAACAATTCTCTGAGACTCACCGGACTCAAGATGTTTGTATGCTCTCCTTTATGTTTCATGAGCCCAAACATTACTTTAGCACCTCATAAGTTGAGATATCTGCTTGTAGTTACTCCATTGCTGCCTGAGAGATCAAAGGGCACAGCTATTTTTGGCAGTATCAGTGTAATTGAACACTTAAAGGCATCAGAAGCTGGGTTACAAGTCCACTTCAGAGTCCTACTTAAAAGAGCACCTTTACCAAAAAATGTCTGCATCCTGGACAAAAGTGTGAGCTGAAGTTCTGTTTGCATGTTTACCCAATGCTCTGATATTCAAGGCTTATAGAAAAGATGCTGTAGCATATGACTGCTGTTTCCAAGAAGAATCACAGACCACATAGGAAGGAAGAGTGTTTTGAGTCCTGAATAGTGTGAATGTGCATACAGGCAAACATTCAAAGACAAGACAGTTACTTAACACTGAATGGAAATGTTTGAAATGCATTGTCTGTGTGCATGTTCAGCAAATATACTCTTTTTTTTTTTTTTTTTGGTCAAACTCCCTTTAACTCCAGGGAATTTTGTGGCATAAAGCGATGTGGGATGAAATGCCATGCACTGCCTTTTATGTCAGGGTGGTTATGTTTATAATATATTTTGCATGTGATGGAATGCAAAGCCATATCATGAAGAAGTTGAGTGGTTAGTAATTCACTGTTTCCAATTTCCAGCATTATGTAGTTAGGGATTTTAGTTCATTCTGGTTTTTAACATATTAGTTCATTGTTTTGCACTAACTAGTATAACTAGTATTGCACTTATCACAGCAATCTGTATGTTTTTGTGGAACTTCTGTTTGCTAAATGGCTGCATTGGTGGATGAAATAGCAAAGTATACCAGAGTGTCAGTTTGCTGTGGTGTACACAGGTAGTCTTTTCATTGAAACCTAGTATGCGTTTCCATGGAAAAGTACAAATAATGTCTTTTAAAATGCTTTCAATAAAACCTATTTTTTTATCCCTAATTTATTTTAATGTAGAAAATATTTACCAAATATTTATGTTGGAGACTATTCTAAATTGCTTTCTGTGCAGTATTTCGTGTAATTAACACCAAATAGTGCAAGCAATTTCCAAATTTTTGGAAAAAGACTTGCAGTAAATTGTATTGTTTCAGAATTTGTGATTTAAATGCCATTGTTTCAAGGGAGTGACAGTACTACTGCTTTCTTTTAGAGCCTTCATGCTATGGAAGGCCATGTGATGATAGCTTTCCTGCCAACTGTTCTGAACCAGTTGTTCAGAGTTCTCACTAGAGCAAGTCAAGAGGAAGTTGCAGTCAATGTGACAAGGTAAAGAATTTTAAGTGCTTCATAGAGTTGTGATGACTGGGTTTGTCACATAAATCTGTAACTGAGTAGCATTTTTGCTATTTCAATCATAGTTTTCTTTGTAGGCTTACTTGTTTTCTGACTTCTGTTTAGGGTTATTATCCATATTGTTGCTCAGTGTCATGAAGAAGGCTTGGATAGCTACCTGAGATCTTATGTCAAGGTAGGTAAAAGTAAATGTTTCCTTTTTTTATTTCTCTAAAAAGAGTATATTTAAATTTTGTTGTATCTGTTTAATTTCAATTGTTTCATATTATGTCATAGTTTCATATTATATTCTGGTTTTCCTCCCCAAGTATGCTTACAAAGCTGAACCCTATGTTGCTTCTGAATATAAGACAGTACATGAAGAATTGACAAAGTCCATGACAACAATTTTAAAGCCATCTGCTGACTTTCTTACAAGCAACAAGCTACTTAAGGTATATATTGAACTATCCTTTTACTGTATGTTCTTATCTGGTCATAACTGAAGAACAGGAACTAATTGTATTGAAATAGTTGTTGAATGCATGTGGCAATTTGACAGAATGTTTTCTTTTCTCTGCAGTATTCATGGTTTTTCTTTGAAGTTCTGATAAAATCAATGGCTCAGCATTTGATAGAAAACTCTAAAGTGAAGGTATGTCAACTTTTAAAAAAAAAGTTATTCTAAAGAGAATTTGTATAGTCTCTTCTTTCTCCAATCACATATTTTTATTGCATATTAGAAGAAAAATTTTTACATATATGTGGTTATGATTTATATATATAATAACTTTCTTGCAAGAAAGGGAGGGAAGGAGCAAAGCAGCAGGAGAAATCAGTTGAAATATTAGATAGAAAAAAAATACAGGGCTAGATTCAACATTACTGTAAAAGGATAGAAACCCCTTAAAATCCATACAATAGAGCAGTCTGTGTAAATAATCAGACTCTCTAGGAAGATTTCTTAATACTTATGGTACGATGAAGCTGGAAACAATAGATAAAACTGTGGACTTTGATGTAAGTACTACCCAAAAATATGTGGGCTTTTTCCTGAGCAGTACAGTAGCTGTGATATAAAATGACTCTGAGAACAGTGAATGATGCCGTTTACAGTCCTTCTGTATGTGATAAGAAGTATCAACATTTAATTCTGTGTTATTTCCTATGCTGGAAGGAGAATCCTAAAATTTTAGAAACAGGCATTTTTCTACCAGCTTGGCGTATAAGCAGAATTTTTCTTACATTGGTGACAGCTTTTTAGTTTACTTACTTCTGTATTAAAACAAGTCTCGAAAGTAAAGTTTCAAGTATACAAAATAGTCCTAGCTGAGTAACATACCCAGTTGTTCTGAAATCTTTATCAGTATTTTCACTGTGTATTTAGAACATAACTGGCAGTCTGAAGTTTTTGAAGCCTTTAGTTTTTGTGGGTGGGGGGAAGTTGAGTATTTACATGGTGCTAGTACTACAGATTTAAGAATCTTCTGAAGTGTGGAAGAAGGCAAGCTTTTATCACTAACTTAAACTGTCTAGGGAAGTGTGACAGCTACCATTTGTTTAGGAGTTTTTAGAATGCAAATATATGCACAAAGGGTTTGCTGTGCATGTAGTGCGGTGCATCCTTTTGCATTTAAGATGTCAAACTTGTTGCTCATTTTAACTGATAAGCTGTTTGGGAATTCCTCAAAAATTTATAGCAAAAAGAAAAGACTTACAACTTTCTACCGCTAATCAATAGAAATACTGTTAATTCAAACCAAAGAAAAATATTCAGATGGACATTTTCCTGTTCTTCACTTTTTTCTGTTTCATAGTATCTGTTCAGATAATTCAGGATCTTTAAACTTAAATTTCCATTATTGATTTGATCTTCCTTGAGAAGGAGTTTTGTGCTTCTTTTCACACCACTATTTTGGGTTTATTATAATCAGTTAAATTAATTGTATTAATTCAATTAATCAATTCAACTGAAATGAAAGTATGATCTTATAAAGCAGAAAACACTGCTTCTTACTTAAAGCTGAAATTTTCTAGACACTTCTGGAATTGAATTAAAATTTTATAATTTAAAAATTATATTGAAAAAAACTGAAAGAATTCTTGTTGGTCTCAATGCTGACCTGACGTTATTGGCAGTACTTTTTATTTTACAATATTCAGCTCTGTGAGAAGGATACAGTTTTGCTAATTACAGAACGTAGTGCATCTGGGCAAGGTTTTCAAAACATGGCATGTGTGAAACTTGCATAGCTTGAGGAAGTTTTCTATTAGATTTTGTAGGTGATACTCTAAAAAACAACAACATGCTGTTTTTGCTTGGCTAAACAAAGTTTATGTAATTTTTCCTGATTTTAACAAACCTACAGAAGTCCTCACAAGTTTGGAAACAGCATATTGATTTTAAAAAAAGCTTCAAAGAAACCACTAACTTGCTGTCATGCAAACCCATTTCCTTAATTTAATTATAACTTCCTTACAATAGGGATTGCATTTTTAAATTGAGATCAGATGGTGGATAAAATAAGTACAGTAGAATATCATCTTTTTTGAAGCAGGAATCTGTGTAAACAAACAAAAACCAAATGCAATTTACTTTTCAGAATGACTTTGCCAGTGTCCATGTTTTTAGTATCCTCTCCCATATAATCTGCATCTCTTATACAGTATGGTATATTACCATTGATGAGCGTTCACATTACTAGTACTTCTTGATATTTTTTAAAAATTTTTATTATTATTTCTTTCCTCCACAAGTGCTATACTGACTCATTTGCTCAAAGTTAATGTGTCTTTACTGACCCATGTAATCCTGATGATAAATTATATGGAGAGCACCAGCACGTATATGTCTGAGGAACAAATTCAATTTAAGATGACTTTCATTTTAGGGAAAACAAAGTTGGTAAAGGAACAGTGTGTCAGTTACACTGATTTGATTACCTGGTGTTATGGAAATATGGTGTGAATTGGGATAGGCAAAACCATAGATATTACTCGGAAAGACCTCCATGTCTTTGGTGTCTAAGTGACCTCAGTAACTATAAGAGAAGTCACAGGTTATTTTCTTTTTTTAGTAGTAACAATCAGTAGGTGAGGCCTAATGGCCTCAGGTTTGCTGTACTTGAAAGACTGAGCAGTTCATTTTGTGATTTACTGTATGCTATAAATTACATGCTGTACAAACTATGGTCTTCTGAGATTGATTTCTAAGGGTGGTTATGAGTAAGCTTAGGATTTTCATTAAAATGCACCAAAAGATGTAGAAAAGAGACAATTCAGTGTATGTTAATATTTCTGAAAACTGGTCTAGGAATTATGACCTTTTTTTTAAGTGATATTTTACATCAACTTGTTGCATCAAATTTTGTCTATCACATGGGGTTATATGATCATATAAATTCTGAAAAAGTCTTGTTCATTTTACATAATCTTTCTGCCCTACAAAATTCTTCAGGTAGGCTAAAAACTTATGTAATTTCATTTTAATGAATGTTTGCTCTACCTCTTAACAGCATAATTGTAAACACGTATTTTGTAGAAGGTGGGCTGAGAAAATACTGAGCATGGAAAGAGCATAACTCTCTTCAAAGAAAGTACTAATTGCTAGTTACATTTTATTTATGATTCTAAAGTAGTAGATAAACCACAAAAATGTGATTTAAATGTTGATGGCACTTTTAACTCTCTGAGACCTCATTTTATTTCAGAAAATAAGGATGCACAGTGAGGTTTTTTATAGATTTAGTAGGTTCTGTAGCCATAAATCTTTCTAAGATGATAACAGTTCATGCAGAGATTTTCTTATGCAGCATTGAAAGTACCAAAATATTGCCATGGTTTTTGTTAGCACTTACAGGTATAGAGACATGCAGTAATTCTACCTGAAGAGGAAAAAAAAACCAAACCAAACAAAAAAACCCACCACCAAAACCCTAAGCTTGATACCTGTCTGGTATCTAGTTTCTGTTGATGTTCCACTCAATAGAGTGTTCTGTATGCTAGGTATACTTCTTGTATAGGAACCCCATTCAGTTCAGGTTAGTATTTTGTTTGTTTTTAATAATATCTTCAGAAGCAACCCCCAAATATGAACTGTTCAATTGTACAAAGGAAACAGATTCTTTTAACATGCACCTTTAGATTCTAGTACTTTGCTGTGTATCACCTTGAACTGCTGTTCTTTCTTACTCTTCCCCTGCAATAACATGAAGTAAGGTTCATAGCTGATAAACTACTGGAATCACTTTTTATGACAGATTTTTGTTGTCTCCACATTTCATGTTAAAAAAGATGTTTCCACTTTTAGAACTAACCTTGTTGTCATCTTCCCTATGACATGAAAGAAAAAGGAGCGGGACTCACCTCTTGTTTGCATGTATCCTCATTCCTGAACACTGCTTCTTGATTTACAAGCCCCTTAAATAAATTATTTTGCTAGCTTTTTTCTGTCTTACTGGGTAAAGTAATAAATGAAGCATGCATTCTGTATTTCCTACTTATGAGATCTGATAAAAAGATGCATTTCTGGGTGCAGCAAAATTATTTCTATAGCAAGTATTTTGTAGTATTTTTTAAAATGTTTAATTACTGTCCAACAAAGACTGACTTACAAGATACTGCAGGATGCTGACTGGCATACCCACCAACAGAATTTTTAATTGTTATTTCATTAATGACTACTGTTGATATTTATATGAGGATCTTTTTCAACCTTAATTGAAATATAATTGAAACAAAAAATATTTTAAAAAAAAATAGAACTAGAGACTTTGGAGCACAGTCAAACACAAAGGGAGAAAATTGTGTAATTATTGATTTATGCAGGACCTTGACAATGACTTGTTCTGCCTAGGAATGTTGCATTCAATATAGTTCAAAAAACTATTTAAACAACAAAGTTTTCAGAGCACTTGGATATTTTGGTTTCAGTTTTCAGAAAGGAAGGACATGATGACTGTACAGTTGAAACAGTTTTTGTCAACGTCAACTTCTTCAGTCTCACACCACTTGTCATTAAGTCCCTTCAGACAAAAGACAGAATTGTTATTTAAGATTGTGAGATGTAGAGAAATAAAAGAGACTGTGCAGTGCCTAAAAGCTGAAGAGAACTTACTGACCAATATTGGTCAGAATGTACAAAATCATTGATGAAGACAATGTAGATGGTGAGTGGAAAGGAGGAAATTGTGAATGTAGAGTAAATCTTTTAAGCCAATTGGCAGACTACCTAAAAGCAAGGGAAAACGGTTCTGATTGTGGAAACTTAAAAACATGGAGAGTAAGATTCTGAAGCCTGAAAGAGCAGAGATTTGAAGTCGCTGACAAGCAAGAGAAAGAAAGAAGCATGGATGAGGATTTCCACAATGGCAAAAGGCAAAGGAGTTATTAAAAAGATAGTTGTGGAACAGCAAAAACTGGTTGGTGGTTTTGGTGGGTTTGTTTTGTTTTGTTTTGTTTTTCTTCAAGACAGAAAAGAGAGTCTAATAATGCCATTACTATATGTGATCCAGCTCATGTCTGCTTTGGAAAGGAAGATAGATAAAGTGAAAGGATTCCCTTTATTCTTAGCTTCTGTCGTCAAGTTTATTGTAGTATAAAAAATATGAAAGCATTACACTTAAACTTTTAAACATGTGTTTGTCATCAAAGACTGCCTTGCTTGAATTTTAATAACAGATATTAGTGCATGTTGTAATATTTTCTTTTGACCAAATGCTCTTTTTTCCTTTTTTCCCCCCTCAGTCTAGAAAGCTCAGGAAAATCTTCAATTAAAAAAAAAAAAAAAAAAGTTACTTTAAATGACAAATGAGAAAATTTGAAAACTTTCTTTGTCTCCCCTCTCCCTGTCAGGTTATCTGTATCTTATCTAAAGTAAATTTTCTGATATAATTTAGTGTTATAAACCATATTAAATATTGTATCTGAATTTGTTTCTAGCTGCTGCGAAACCAGAGATTTTCCGCTTCCTTTCATCATGCGGTTGAAACAGTTGTTAATATGCTAATGCCACACATCACTCAGAAGTACAGAGACAATCCAGAGGCTTCAAAAAATGCAAACCATAGCCTTGCTGCCTTTATAAAAGTAGGTACACAAGTGACTTGGGCTCAGTTGTTACTTTTTCAATAATACTGCTTCCTCATGGATTTTAAAGAATCTTAAAGCCAACTCATATAAAACTGAATATGCATAATGCTTTTTAAATATAATTCCATGTCCAAGTTAAAATGCATTGAAGTGTAATTTGCATCTGTAATCTAGAAGACATCTGTTTGAAAGTTTGCTATTTTTTTAATGAATTCATATTTTATCCAAAATGTATTTTGATTTTTTTTTTTTTTTTTTACTTTAAAAATATCTAGGTTACCTTCTAATGCTACAAAAGCTTCATACACTGAGTAAAGTTTTATTTGCATGCATTTTATATAGACAGTCTTTCAGTGTCTTTCCTTTTTCAGCCAGTAAGATTCAGCAGGGAGAAAAAAGGATGGGACATAAAAAGGTAGATAAAGGTGCTAGTGGCATGTCATTTTTGTTTCTGTCAAGACAGAGTTCTTCTCTTCAAACTGCTTTTTATTTGCAATTTGTTTACATTGTGTACTCTAAGGTAAGATTTGGTATTCATATATGTATACTTATATTTAGTTTGCTTGTTCTATTGGTTTTTATATTCAAACTGAAATATCAATAATGTGTTTGGAAAATAAACTTATTAAATACAGAAATATAATTACTGAGCACTGAGACAGTATTAAATCAATTCTATCTTGTTTTTTCTTGTTTTCCCCAGAGGTGTTTTACTTTTATGGATAGAGGCTTTGTTTTCAAGCAAATCAATAACTACATCAGCTGCTTTGCCCCAGGAGATCCAAAGGTACTCAGTGTTTTTAAACAAACTGTTTTTAGGAGTTGCTTCTGCTTGATGCATGTGGATAGAGTCCTGCATTAAATCTTCAGACTTCTTTCCAGTTACATTAGAAATCCCTGTGCTGTGCCTAGAGCATTTTTGTCCCCATCAAATAACTTTTTCATATTTTGATTCCTATCTTCAGATGCAACTTTACCACCCTAGAGCATGTGTATTGCGAAAGTGGTGGCGAGTGGGGGTGCAACACTAAGCAGAAATTTTAAGCATGAATGTGAGAAAGGCTAAAGTTGGAAGAGGTGATATCTGATAAGTTTCTGTACATTTACTGTAGTGGTGAATCCATGTACCAGATGCCCAAAAAATTTCTTCTGTGGGTCCAAACTTTTCTTCCATCAGTACATAATATGCTAGTAACCTTAAATAACTTTGGACAATGGGAACAGTAAATAGAACTATATCCAGTTGTCAAGTATGAATTATGCTGGAATTATTTTATACTGACATATGGAACTTTGACAGGTCTATATCCCTCATACTGCAAGACTGTGAGAAATCACCCTTTTGTGTTAGAAAGCTGTTTTTAATGTGTTGTTCAAATCACTGCATCAGTTGTTTATTTATACTTTAAAATTATTTTTGCAGACTCTTTTTGAATTCAAATTTGAATTTCTCCGTGTAGTCTGTAATCATGAGCACTACATACCTTTGAATCTACCAATGCCATTTGGAAAAGGCAGAGTTCAGAGATACCAAGGTAAATTCTTCCAAAGAAGTGTATGCTGTATTTCTTGGATGTCAGCTTTTTATTATTGGACATGTAGACTGTGTAACTTCAGGTCTATGAGATGTTGGAAACCTCAAAATTGTTAAATGGAAACCTAAAGTTGTAATCCTTTCATTTAAACTCAAAGGAATAGTTTAGGTAGCAGAGTAATCTATTCAAAGTATCTAGTCATTGAAAGATATGGTAAACAACATCCTTGGCTCTGCCTCCTTTTCCTGCTATGATTATTAAGTTTGCTTTTTTTTCATGAGTTAGCTTTTCATTCACTAGCTGCGGAAGCCTGCAACACTCCTCCTGTAGGTAGGTGTACAGTGTGAGGCTTGGTGTACTTCTTACTTTTTTTCATATACCCATTCAGGTTAAAAGGGACTTCAGTAGGTCTGTAGTCCAATCTCCTGCTCAGGTCGCCTTTCCTTCTCCAAATGGAACAAGCTCAGTTCCCTCAATTTCTCCTGATAGGGCATGTGTTCCAGCCCTCTAATTACCTTGGTGGTCCTTTGCTGAACTCACTCAAGCTAAGATCCTTCTTGTACTACAAGGCCCAAATACTATACATGATATTACGGATATGTCTAATAAATACCAAGTAAAGGGGAATAAACACTTGCCTTGATATACTGGCTATGATCCTGTTGATACAGGCCAGTATGCTGTTAGCCTTCATTGTTGCCAGGATACCATGCCAACTCCTGTTGAAGCTACTGTCCACCTGGACCCCTAGGTGATTTTCAGCAGAGCTGTTCCCAAGCTAGTCATTCCACAGCTGGTACCATTGCAGGAAGTTTGTCCACCCCAGGGGTGGAATTTTGCATTTGTCCTTGTTGAATTTAATTGATGTTTCTGTTGACCCATTCCTGTAGAATCTTCTGAAATGCAGCCCTGTCCTTGAGCATATGAACTGTACCCTGTCCACAAACTTACTTGATGAGGATGCAGTCTATCTCCTCTTCCAGGTCATTGATGAAGTAGTATTAAGTAGGGTAGACCCTGGGAAACTCCTCTTGTAGTTGGTCTCCAAGTAGAGTACAAACTGTTAACCACCAACCTTTGAGTTCTTTTGCACATTTAAGTGTCTGTTCACCTAGACTGTAATGTCCCGGTTTGGATACAGTGACCATGTGGACATCTGCCATTCTCCCCTTATCCACAGATCTAGTAGAGATCATTGTAGAAGACAGGTTAACCAAGCATGCTTTACCCTGGGTAAATCTATCCTGGCCATTCCTGGTCACACTCTTCTCCTTCACTTGCCAAGAAATGGCTTCCAAGAGGACTTGCTCCATGACTTTTCCAAGGACCAAAGTGAGGCCTGTAGTTCCCTGAATTATTCTTGCCCTTTTTTGAAGATATGTGCAATGTCTACCTGCAGTCATCGCAAGGTCCCAATTATGGGAGACCCCAGATCACCATGGCTTAACAAAGGTGATGGTGAGTGGTTTCCAATGTTATCAGCTAACTCTCTCAGCATCTCATCTGGTGCTCTGGATTTGCATGACTGGAGGTCTCTCAGGAGATCCCTCGCCTGATCCTTAACCACTGCTGTTAATTCTCTTTCTTGAAGCTAGTCTCTAGACTCTTAAGGCCTGGGAACCATGGCAGTGAAGGATAGGGTAACAAAGGTATGGAGCACTTTGGCCCTTACCCAAGTCCACTGTCTCTAAATCACAGTCCCCATTCAGAAAATATCCCGTTTTCCTTTTTCAAGCTTTTAATGTTAATGTAGTGGTAGAAGCTGTTCGTGTTGCCATAGATGTCTGTTACCAGTTTCAGCTGTAGCTGAGCTTTGGCTTTCCTGGCACTATCCCTGCATATTTGATCAATGCTTCTGTATTCCTCTTTTGTAGCTTGTTCTTGCTTCTACCTCATGCTTTCTTTTTGCACTGGAGCTCAGTCATGAATGCCCTGTTTAGCCCAGCTGGGCTCCTGATACATCTAGCCTTGTACCAAAACAAATAGTACGTTAGCTATTGTATTTGTGGCTGTGAAGACATTATTAATTTCTTCCAGGCATTGAACTGTAGCAGGCATCAATAAGCAGAGGTTGAGGAACGTGCTTTTGCAAGTAACAAGTAAACCTGCCTAACATTTGTGTTTTTGTAGATTACGTTATTTTTGTCTGAAATATTTATTCAGTGGACTCTGCTGGCTTAGTAAAGTTGGGTATAACTAATTAACACTCTCATCAAGGTGGTAGAACAAGATTTGGGGCTAAGAGCTGGACAGCTGCATAGAACTTGTTTCTGTCTTTGGCTTTTTCAGCCTTCAGGAATGTATTGGGTAATAACACTGCATAAATATTTCCATAGAAAAGGGCCTATGAGTTGTTGGGTTTGGGATCCTAGGAAAATAGCAAAACTAGAGAAAACAGTGTTTCTGATTACGCAATAAAGAACAGTGTAAAATGTTGCTCTTTGGAGAACCAGGAGTTTGGCCAGGAAAGATGACCTTTATCAGAAGTGTTTCTGGCTGTTTTGCTTTCTCAAACAAAAGAGGTCTTGGTTGATGTGGTTGGCTCTTGAGTGAGTTACAAGAAGGCCCACAGAATGTCTGTGCTGTCTTACATGTGTTTCTGACTTAATGGATTCCCTTACTGGGAGAGTTCTTTGAAAAATGAAAGGTCTTTGAGATTAACATCTGTTTTTTGATTACTGTATTGAACAATGATAGTGAATATGAGAAACTCTTGAACACCTCCTCAGCTGAAATTTTAAACATATGTACATTCTAATAAATAAGATCTTCAAGCTAAAGTTTCTCTTAAGCTGTCATATATTCAGTACAGAGATTAACTGGATTATTTTATTACACAATAGGTACTTCTAAAGGAGAGCAGTTTGACTCTGCTGTGTCAGATGTGCTGGGGTTTTGTGTGTGTGTATGTGTCTGTATAATATCTATATATCTACATGGGGTTTAGTATAGATTTACAGTTAGTTACTACTAGGAATACTTTATGAAATAAAATTGCATTGCAGTGGTTTAAGCACAAATGTTCAAATAAAATATTATTTAATTCCAATTCTGTTGCAGTTAACACTGAATATATAAATTTTTCTGGAAAATACAGTATTGTTTAATTGTAGCAGAAAAATTGTCTACTGTATTACAATGCAGGTCTAATTTCCACAGATTCATTTAAGTTATCTTGTTTAAATATTATTGTGTCCTTTTGTGTTCTGATATATTGAGAATAAATTGCTTAACTTGGATACGTGTATTGCAAATGCAGTCTCTTCATTACACTTCTACTACACACTGCAAATTTTTGGGACCATTTTCTTAGAGAATGTCAATTAACCAAGATCACAGTTGTTAGCAGGCTTTATAGTCTATATTCATAATAGATACATGTGTAAGATAGGAACTTAAAATCGCACTACAGAAATCTAAAACTTCTTAATCCATGTTTTGCTTGCAGTCCTTTGAATTTACTAACATGACACTGAACCACAGACTAAAAATTAAATTCTACTTCTACCATACAACTCAATTCCTGAAAGATAGAATGTGCACAACCTTTGTGTACTGTGTGCGTTTTCAGTGCCTGAATATAGATTTGAAATTTGAATTTGTTGCTATAAGATGCTGATCCAGCTAAATTTAATAGGAATACTTTTGAATATTAGACAGTATTTAAAGTATTTTTTTTAAATAATGTATTTAGAATTCTCCAGCTTCTGTTGATTGAATATGCGTAATCATTGTTTAATAAATGCATCATTATGCAGTGAATTGGGCAAGGGACATATGAATAACTACAGTTATATATTTGCATGTGAAACGTGTATGAATTTGTCAATAATGTTGGAAACATTTTAGTTCAGCCTTAAGTTAATTGATAAATTGATTTAAATAATGCCATTCCTTACATAGAACTTGTACTTTACTTCCAGACCTTCACCTGGACTATTCATTAACTGATGAGTTCTGTAAAAATCACTTCTTAGTGGGACTGCTTCTAAGGGAGGTGGGCAATGCATTACAAGAGTTCAGAGACGTGCGGCAGATTGCTATTAGTGTGCTCAAGAATTTGATGATAAAGCATTCTTTTGATGATAGATATGCTTCCAGGGTAAGTGCATTGCTATGCTAGTAGTACAGAATAAAAGTGATTAAGTGTGCACACATACAGAAAGTTGTTTCTTTCACAGAAAAACTTGTTAATTTGCAGACTGCTTAGACTGATGAAAATATGTACAAAAATTGTATCAAAATCAATCTGCAAATCCCTTATTTTTACCAAATGAAAGCACAAAGCACCTTTTAACATAATTGCATGTGTTTATTACATTGTACCACAGTGTAATTAACTGCTGTTCTCAAAGTAATCAGATTTTTACGAACGTTTTTAAAGCTCTTATTTTCATTTCTTGTTTTCATTAAACATTATCTCTTAATATTTGGCAGCTGTCCTTCCATCATCTGTGATTCATAAAATGAGTATAAGAAAGCTGCAAGTCATGGTAGTAAATTTTGAGTGATTTTTAATTTCCTGACTTTTTTTTAACATCAGCTGTGCTGTGGAGAAGCCATAAGATTTTAATGGAAGATATCATTAATTTATCAAGCTAACATAATATTAATTTACTTGGTTAGTCTTAGCTAAAATCACGTTAATATAGGGTTTTTTTCTGCATTATATTAAAACAGGAATAAAATTTACCCCCCTCTGTAAAATTAGAATGAAATACAGTGAGGATCGCTGCTTTTGCCATTTATGAACTTATGAATGTGGGCTCTGGGTTGGCAAATATTTATTAAATGCTCTTTTTTTGTAATTTAGGAATCAATAGCTTAAAAATAATTGGTGATTGAAAATTAAATCTGTAATTTGTTAATACACTGTTAAACTCTATTTAGAGCCATCAAGCAAGAATAGCCACTATGTATTTGCCGCTCTTTGGACTACTCATAGAAAATGTTCAGCGAATCAATGTTAAAGATGTGTCTCCATTTCCTGTTAACCCTTCCAGCAATGTGAGTGACTGTTTCTATTTGGTATTCTGAATTATTTTTGTTGTAATTTACTGGTAACATGTATATGAAACCTGCATACTTCTGGCAAACAAAGTTTCATAAGCTTCAGAATTCTGCAAGTTTGTTCTCCTTGCTTTTTCTGAGCTTAAAAGCTTAATTAACCTTTATGGTTTTGGCTGCAGTTTCTCTTGTCCAGCTAAGTTATGCCTAACATGATAATTGGCTAGTTTGGTCCTACACACAGGTTACAGTGCCCTTAGTGATCTCCACCTGAACCTCTGAAGAATTTTGGAGAATGCTAGGCTACACAGATTGCCACAGCATCCTTCTAATGCCATGTGATTATACTGCCATGTAATGACTTGCTTTTTCGATATCTCTGGTGCATGTGCTTATATTTCAATATAAACTGTAGACCACACAGGATTGGACCCGCTGCATCTTTTTGAGTCCTCTAAGAAGAGCAGCCAAAGAAGCTGAAGGAACAGTGTAGCTGAAATAAAAAATATCAGTTGTTTCTGCAATTTAATGGCCTTCTGTTTGTATCTGTTACCCAGTTTTGACACAATTCTGTGAGACGAGTTTTCATTAAATTGTCTCCTTAGTCTGCCTGCCAGTTTGTATAAACAGTTTGCCTCTATTCTTGTAGATCCTGGCATTGGAGGCACTTGCACATACTTCATTTTTATGCAAGAGGTACTCCCCTGACATCTGACACATAGAGAATTAGTTATGTTCGCTAAAATCCCAACAGATACAGTAGTTGCTGATGGTGTTCAGCAGAAAAGATTGTATATTGGTGGTAGATTTTTTTTTTTAAATCTTATTTTTCAATTCAGTCCAACACCGAAATAAATGGACCACAACAAAAAATGGTTAATTTTCTAGAAATTGGAGAAGAATTTTTAACCTTGAAGGAGTGTGCTTTTGAAACAGCTGTAGTGTAAGAGGGCTACAGGAGAAAGAATTCAAATGGAATTTGGGAAGGTGTATATTGATACATTGTAGTTGCATACAATTATTGAATCTAAGACTTAATTATTAATGTATTTTATTTTTTCTGTATCTTGCTGTGTTCCATTTGGTATTAAGAAAGAAATTCACAATACCCTTCCAACAAGAGAAATGATTGGGTGTTTGAAATAAAAGTCATTTGGGTCTTTTGCAAATACCTGTTTTATAGTGTTTAAAATTCAATGGAATATTCATTTCTTCAATGTTTCCTGAGGTATCTTAAGGTCTAGATTATCCCAAGCTTGTGTAAGTACCCAAACATCTCATTCCATGCTTTTGAGTATATTTAATAGAAATTAAAATTTAAGAAAGAACTATATAACAAATACTGCTCTAGAAGTTAAAGTATGTCATGTTCATTAAGTCCATAACGTTGGAAAACAATAATCACATTTTCCGCTCCTTCCAAACAGAGTGCAAAGGATGATGCACTTAATTTGCCAACTGCAAGTCAGCTAGTAACACCACAAAAATCAGGAAACACATTGGATAACAGTCTTCCTAAAGATCTATTTGGTGTTATCTCTGGTATTGGTAAGTGCTTAAAAAAATAAAATAATTTAAAAAAGAACCAGTTTCCTTTTTCATTTGTTACCAGAAATAATTGTTCTGTGGTCCAACTTCGGTTGCTTTCTGCATATATACTTGAATGTTACTGCTACTTTCGTTAACAGAACTCTAATGCAATCAACTGTTCAGCGTGGGTCAGAATTCACAGTCTGTACACGAAATCTTTCTTTTGGGATCTTTTTGGTTTTGCTTTTCTATTTGAAACTAAAGCTATTTCCTGGAGAGAACTGTTTTTTTCCCTGTCAAAGGTGATAGTTCTTGTCTTGTTGCAGAGAAATAGGAGACAAGACTAGGCTTAGTCACTTATGGCAAGAGTGCTATAATCCATGATTTTGTATGTGATGTTAGAGACTACCTCTAAGTGGATTGCTGCTTGTGCACACCTGTGGGCATCCTCCTGTTTGTCATCTTAATGTGTTTTTCTATTTGTTGTTGTCTGCTGTAATTAGTTGTGTCACTTAATAGTCAATTTAAAAAAAAAAAAAGCTCAAAAATGGGGAAGGAGAATTTTTTAAATATACATGCTGCTTTGTGTGTGTATGTATTGCTACATAAGTCTGTGTGTATGTACATACATATATACTTTGCTGAAACTCTAGAATAAGTTTCTCTTCATTAAAAGTAAGTAAATGGAATTAGTTATTTGCCTTCTTAAAAAATACATACATATTTGGTGGTTTTAGAAGTCTGACTAAACTATGGAGTATCTTTTTTCAGTATATGTATTGTTTGAGATATTTATATTGTTTTGGATTTTTTTAGCTTCCCCATACACCACGTCAACTCCAAATATTAATAGCGTGAGGAATGCTGACTCAAGAGGCTCTCTTATAAGTACAGACTCGGGAAACAGTCTCCCAGAAAGACACAGTGACAAGAGTAATTCTCTTGACAAGGTAAAAAAACCAAACCGAAATAAAAAACTCAAAAGTGTATTCCTCAAATTTCATATTAATTCTCATAGGAGTTACCTTCTTTATCTCCATTGGGAATGGGCTTTCTAGAATAACTGTAGAGCAGTATTTTACATAAGTTTTTCTTTTGCAAAATAATTATCATATGAACTCTTTTTGCATTGCATTTATTAAGCTGTTTTGCAGAAAATACAAACAGATTTTCAACGTAGAGACGTAACCAAGCAGTTGTTTCCTTTGCTAGAGAAAGGCACTAGATGAAGTGTATTGAATTTCGCTTGAGAGAACTGAATTCTAGTTAGGACAGCTTCTTTGATTTTGTGAAGACCTTCATCCTTTTCTGTACACAATATCATAGCATTTTTAAAATGTTGAAAAACCAGTTGCTGTGCTTTCTTTAGGTGATTTCTTTTATATTAGTTTGACTTTTCTAAATCATTTCACTTTAAAGCTGTTACAAATTAGGAGCTCTGGCTGCAGTAGCTATGAGGCGTTCAGTCATGTCTTTCTAGAGCTTGTGTTGATACTGATCACATTTCATTTTCTTAGATCTTGTTGTGCAAGTCACAACATGTTAACTTTTTCCCCTTGACTCTATGACATGCCTTCGTGTGGCAGAGAGAGAAGCTTCTCAGAAGGCACTCTGCTCATGCTATGCGCCCTAATGGAGAAGAAGAAGAAAATTCTCACCCTGCAAAGAAAAACCGTGTTACTATGGATTTTTCACTTCTGACAATTCCAGCTTTGCCAGAGAAAATCTTGCATGCTGCTTTCTCTCTTCAGTTGCAAGAAGTATTTGGTTTTTGTGCTTGGTATAGTTAAGCTTCTGAGTGAAGTGTGTGATCAGTGGTTTTGCCACTTCTTTGCAACAGTTGAATCCAAGCCAAATATTTACAATGTAACCATGTAAAATACCTTTAAATGCCAAACCTGGAATAGTTCATGTACATGATTTAATTTAAGCATAAAAATCCAATCAGCTTAAATATCAGCAGAATTTGAGTCTTAGGGTTTTTAATGTAAATAGAACTAAAAAAAAAAATCTTCTTTGACATTGACCAAGTAATAAAGAAATACCTTGTGCATACACTGTTGCTAAATGGCAATGCTGTCATCTATTACTTAGTTGTCATGTTGTTAATTACTAATATGTAGTGTTTTTACCAAGTGAAAGGGTTTTCAAAGGAGTTGTCATCCTTTGAAAATTCTACTCTGGTTTGCCAATTTAGGTAATACAGGATTTATGTTTTGCATGCTGTTAATGTTTTCCCTGAATAATACTTAATACTGGCTTATTATTCGTTGCTTTCCAAACTTTCTTTCTAGTAGATCAGTTGTTCAGTGCACGTTATCTTCGAGTTTTTGCTCATTGCTTGATATTATTACTGAAGAGCCATGTTTTTGTTCTAATTTTCTTTCATAACCTGTAGAACTATACTTGTAGAATCAGAATTGGCTGGAAGTATATCAGTTTCTATTTTAATATGTGCATACTTTATAGGTTATTGACATGATTTTAAATTAAGCTTGTGAGTAGCTATAGTCCTAGATTTATCCATGGATATGTTCAACTATTTTAGAGGGAATATTATCTAGTGCTCTGGACAGTATCCGAAAGTCTAGGAAACTAAAATTCTGCTTCTGCTCTGCCACCCATTAATTGCCTGCTCTATTTCAGTATCCATAAAGCTGTACAGTAGCACCTCCTTGTTCACCAGAGATATTTCAAAGATAAACAGTTTTTGAGGTCTTTAGAATCTGCAATAAGACTTATGTAGGTGTCCATTTCCTCCTAAATTACAGTAACTTCTGGCTAGCATTAATCATAGTTTCACATTCAGTTTCACTGCGCATCCATTCAATGGCTAGTATGTGACAGATTTACACAGATTGTTTTAGGATGGCAATTTGTTCCTTTGACATGGAATATGTTCAAGGGCTCAGCATTCAATTGATGTGTATGCTGTGAAATGTTCCCTCAAGGGTTAGCATGTCTCCTGCTTTCAGTGAGGAGCGTTCCTGGAGGGGTGGTTATACCCTTGAGGTATTGGCACTTCTTGCTTTGTTTGTGAAACCAAGTGCTTTTCTCCCTTAAGTCTATGTTTTTATTTTTTTCTAATCTTGATATGAAGAATTTCTTCCAACACTGGTATGTGTCCTTAATAAGGTCATGGAGCCAAGATGATCCAACTTTCTTGTAGGAACCAAAGAGTTGCACAGATCAATTGTACCAGACTGTTGACTTTACAGAAAACTTACCAAATGTCTGTTTCATTTTTCATTCACATAAGTGGCCTTGTATTGGAAGTGAGAATTAGGCACTAAAAAGGACATAATTTATCCTTTAAACAAACATTTATATAGTATATCTGTAAAAGCCTCAGACTGAGGATTTTGTAACACTCGATTGTGTGGAAATTATTCTTTTACAGATAAGTCTTTGCCTAAAGTTCAGTTTATATATTCTCACAGTTTTACTTTTTCTGTTTTTTTGGTACACATTTTGAAAGATGAGTTACAGGGTTTTTTTCTTTTTGGATAGACTTTAGTATTGAGCATTGCTGATTCACTTCCCCCAAGTGTAGGAACTGTATAAACAAATGAAGCAGGCAGAAAGGTGGTTTGATGTTGGTTTGGGGTTTTTTTTTCAGGCAAGAATGCATACTATTGCCATTCATGTATGTTTTCCTTGGGGTTCTTACATCTTTAAATGGAAGGAATTTTGTAGAGGCAGGTCTGTCTACAGTTCAGCATAAAGTCTTTTCAAAAGCAAAGGAGCATATATGTATCGCCTAACACAGTAGCATTTATTTTTAAAGTACGTCATCTAAGCAGAAGGGGCATGCCTGATTTCTATAATGTGGGTATCTATGTATAATTAACTAGATTAATAATCACTGTTAGGTAACTTTCCCTCTTACTTCTCCCTCTGGGGGGGAAAAAATCATATGGAGAAGGAAATAAAAATAAACAAAGGTAAAGAGGCTTAATTTGGTATACTTCATGTGTGTAATGTGTGTTTTAGTGACCTGTCTCTACATGAAACCTTTTTGTCTCTGTTCTGAGATCCTTTTTCTGTTGCAGGAATTAATAAGGCAATTTAAAAGATTTTAGTTTATTATCAGTTTAAGAACTCTTCAGCCAAAATATGTCTGCTTTCTTTTCAGAATCAACAGAGCAGCGCTTTAGGAAGTTCTGTAGTTCGATATGACAAACTTGACCAAGCAGAGATCAAAAGTCTGCTTATGTGTTTCCTTTATATTTTAAGAAGTATGTCAGAAGGTAGGTAATTCCACCTATTTTTTTCATAAATTCAAAATCATCTGTTGGATTTATGCCTGTGATTTTAATACCTATTCAAAATGAGCAGAATACTTTAGGTGTAGGTACCATGTTGTGCTGTGTTTTACAAATATGTGTGACTGATCAAATTAAACTCTGACTGAAACCTTGTAAGAATTAAATAACCCATTATTCCTTCAAACTGTGAGGCTAACTAAGGGACTTGGTAAGAAAGCGAATATTTTTGTGTGAATGTACAGGCTGGTTTGGAAAATGGAGGAGAAGAGTAGTTCATTGATCAGTAGAAGAGTCTTGAGCTAGTCCATTCCTCCATTCTGCAGAACTTCCTGTATGATAGGGAACCAAATGATTTGATTGCTGTGTGTATTTCCATTTCTGGAATGGGGATATTAGTGCTTCTTCATTCTCCTGGGGTGTTTGTGAGATGATCCATTGAATTTTTGAAAGAGTCATATTATGCTGGAGAAGGTTGCAGAAGTATAGATATACTGCATGAATGGCAAAACTTAATTTTTTACTAGGATCATACAACTCGGAATCATCCCTATCCCTGATCAATATTTTAAAAGGAGGGCAAGTCCCTTTTGGTAAAAACATTGAATTTTTCAGTTTGCACTAAACATATCAAAAGTAGTTAATTTATTTTCTGTGCCTATTTTGATGTTAATTTCTAAGCATCAAGTGTATATAGTACTTGAGCTCTAATTTATTACACCACTTAATCAAGAATGAGAATTGAAAGGTTAACAAGTATTCAATGTCCAGTCACACCATTAGATTTTCATGTAATTACATCAATATTATTTTTATGTATTTTAATTGCAAAGGATAATAAAAGTCCAAAATATCTTTTTCACTATTTTACACTTTGAAATACGTAAAAATTAGTCAGAATTTCTAGGAAATTGAAGTTAAAATTTACATAAGCACAGTGGGGATTTTTTGGTCTCAGTTCTCCAGGAAAAGAACAAGTGTCAAATAAACTTTGCCACACATCTTTAATAATTTTGAACTTGTTAGCTAATTTTGAACATTTTTGGCAAAAGAGACCAGGTCTTGGCTATGTAGCTACAAGCTTTGTAAAAAATATATAGCCATTTTTTAAATCTGTGCAAATAAAGAAAATCTGAAACCTGTGCTGAAAAACTATCTATAGTAAGGCATTGTAAATTAAAAAAGAAGAAATCATAAATTTGAATTTAAAAAATGTTGAGTCCAATCTATAAAGAAGCAGGTTGTAGGACTAACAGTCCAAAGTATTCAGAAGTCTTACATTTTTAGAACACTGTAGTCACTGACTACACAATTATTACTGTTTAAAATATGAAATTGTATGGGGATATTATGGATTAATTAAAAGCATATTGTAGAAAGTAATTTGGAGAATTGATATGCGCATTTGTATAATCAGCTTCAAGGAAAACTTTATATAGTAATAGTTATCTGTACCCCACAAGCCATTTTTAGGTTTCCTGAATCCTCATTATCTGAAAACTAAGTACTGATCTTAACTCTTCTACTTAATATTTTTGTGTGTTTGCTGCCTTTGTCTTGTTTTTAATATTTTTCATTTTCCTAGACGCATTGTTTACATATTGGAACAAGGCTACAAAATCTGAACTCATGGACTTTTTCACGATTACAGAGTAAGATTTTTGTTGAGCTTGTCATAAAATCATATGCTGTTAAAAACATGAGTGTGGATATAAGTGTGTATATATGTTGGGGGTTTTGTTTGTTTGTTTGTTTTAAATAATGCCATCTTGGTCTGTTTAGAAGTCCTTAACTTGATGTGCACAATTGCATGTCTGTCCAATTCCATGATAGTTTCTGGAATTAGGCTATACAGAAGTGATCTCAGGAAGTTCCTAAACAGCAGGTAGTGCTCAGAATATTGCTATGCTCATGGAAGAGGAACCAACTGTCTTGTTACCTGTCTGCATTAAAATGCATCTTGTAACGTTGAACTGCTGAAATTATATGGTTGCATAACAAAATTGATTGAATTGCATAATTTCAGAAACAAAGGGATATGAACTGTCCTCCTAGCATTCCTCTTGTGTCTTCTGCCATTCTGTGAGGGAAAAGATATAGGATGAATCCATTATTTGTTATCAATGGCTACACTCCATCCCTATGCACACTTAGTGTGTTCATGAGAATTGACTGATATGTTAATAAAAAGTGAAGGCGGCACTGTTTGCCTGAAGTGTTGTGCCACAGAAGCATTTCTGCTTGCCTTGCTTGTTTTACTGGACTGCTTTCCTTTGTTTCTGTAGCAGAGGCTCAATCAATATAATATCAGTTGTTAAATGTGTTATGGAATGTGCTACTCAAGGTCTATTTTAGGAATATGTTGTAGACAGTCTACTTAGTAGAGTCTCTGAAGCCTGAGGTGTAAACTGTACATAATCAGTGCTGAATGCTATTTTGCCATTAGATACTTCTTATTAAAGGGCTGGATAGGATTGGTTTGTGATCAAATCAGTAATCTCAAATTACTAATTATCAAAGATTTCCATCACAATAGCAGTATATGGAATACAGAATAAAATTTCCATCTTGTTAGTGCAGTGGATGATATTACAGTTCCTCAGACTAGGAACAAGGCTCATAAAAGTCTTCTACCTCTTCCAATTCTAGGAGTATTTTGCCAATGCAAATACCGTTCATTTTTGCAAATAGCAAAATCGATGATGGTTTTGATTAGCACAGGTCATTACAGTAGTTTCTCATTACCTCAGTAAGACAGTGTTTCTGGTAGGTAGGTACTTGCCATGCAAAGAACTTTTTCTGAAAAACTTAAATTCTAAAAAAGACAAGATGACATCGGAAAGGGGAATTGAGGTTAGTTTTCAAATAGAGTGGCAAGTCTGGGGGAGGGAAACACCATTCTGTCTCCACAGTTTGGAGACAGCTAATCTGCTTAAGGTCTGAGTACACAATGGAGCTGAGTTGAAGAGACTATTTGCCACTCTTCTCCCGTATTCACAACTGGCACATGGAAGTGAAAAGCTGAAAACTGGCTTTCAGTTTGGATTTACACTTTAAAGAAGAACTTTTAGAATATTCTTACCCAAGGGACAAGGGAAGTTGCATTAAGTGTTCTGAATTATCAGGATAATTACTTACAGTGGGAAAAGAGTAAATAAAATAATTATTACAGCCTTCATTCAAACCATTTTTCTTGATTTTTAAAGTGTGACTTCTAGTTTATTAGTCATCAGTGTTGTGTACTTACCAGTTGTGAAGACAAGCAGAGGCACGTGGCAAATTAGGTTACAATTTCAAGTTTCTTGCTGGATCTGAACCAGTAGTATTATGATTCTTTAAAATATAACATCATATTGAAGTATAGATTTTTAACATCTTATTGTAAAAGCAGATTCCCTTTAGAAAATAGTTCTGTCAGAAGCCCTGTTGTTATCCTGGAATCTGGAAATCTTAAAAACAAAACAAAACCCCCAAACAACAACAAAAAACCCAAACCAACCAAACAAAAAGCCCCCCAACAACCACAAACAAAACAACCCAACAAAACAGAAAAACCCCAACCTGGAACTAAGAGAGTTTAGGCCAAGGGGAAAAAAAGCAAAATGTATTGCCCTTATTTTGAACCGTTATACACATTTTGCAAAATATGTGTATATATGTAGTGTCTGGTTATGTCTTTGCTGCAGTCCTTCATGTTAGTTGTCCTGGATTGATGTGCATTTGTAAATAGCTGTGGGCCTCATTTCACATAATGAAATTTTGTCTCTGATAGTTGAGGCTAAATATTTCTTCTTTATAAATAATTAAAATCTATCCAAGATGAAGCACTTGAAAACTGTAAACAGTGAGTTCTAAGGTGTTTTCTTTTTTCGCCATTTGGCCCTTCTCGCTTGTCACTATTAGACTCACACTAGCTGTTTTGATTCAGAGTGTTGAGATAGGTGAGCACTGGAGGCAGCTTTATGTGCCTTTTGCTATTAATCCCAATTTGACCAAAACAACAACCATCTGTGACTGATTTCTGAAGAGCCATGTTTACCTTTTCCTGGCTTGGGGACTGGAAGGGAATTTTAAGGGTGGGAGAAATAAAGAAGTTTTATGATGTAAGAGTTTAAAGTTAAACAAAAATAATAGTTGAATAATTCCCATATACGTAAATCTAGAAGAGATTGGTTTAAGTGTTGTTTCTCTGACTTCTGTGTTCTCTGCAGAGTGTGCTTACATCAGTTCCAGTACATGGGAAAACGATACATAGCCAGGTACTGTGTGGAATTTAAATTTCACTAAGAATAATAATGTGTACAGTATGGCCTCAATGTCTATTACAAATAAAGTGCATGAGTAGAAGAGTTATTGTGAAATGATACATAACAGTTTGAAGTTAAGTAACTGGTTACTATATTAACAAATCTGTGTCCTGTCTGAAAGTCTGGTACCTGTTTAAGAATAATGTGTGTGCTGTGTTTATTACCAATTACTTTAAAATCCGCCCCTGAAATGCTATCTTTTACAGCTTTTTTTTCTTTGAAGTAGTGTCTTTGGGGAAGAAATTTTATGATTTGTTTTGTATTTACTTGGCCATAAAACCATGGCTGTTGAAATGTTTTAGAAATTTTATATGTAGTGTTTTTACTGAAAGGTGAGTAGTCAATATTCAAACACTGCTGTTTTTCATTTTGAAGTCCGAAGTACCATTAGATACCTGTACATTCCCATTGAAGGCTGTTTAGGAGAAAATCTGCAGGAGTCAGAAACATGTACTAAATTATTTGAATATCTTTGTATGAGTGTGTTTTTTAAAGCAAAGTAGTTTTTTACTGGAGTAAAATATAGCAACTTGTTTAGGCCTTAGACTGTGGTTGACATGGTAATACTGTAATAATTACATCTGTGGGGTTGAAATACTGGCCCTCTTGAACTCAGTGAGAAAGTTGTTACTGACTTTGGGTGTTAAAGCATTCTAACTAAAATGTTAGCTTTTTTGTTTTTTAATTTAGATTTAATGGTATGTGAATCTCTTTTTACAAACAACAAACTTGACTATCTCCTTGGAAATTTTTCAGAAAAAAAAAATCTAATCTCTGTTCATATATCCTAAAAAAATCCAAGGCCAAAATAAATCTGGCTTTCTTAAGGTTTTGGTTGTAACCTTTGTGTTTAAATGTACTTCAAAGTCTGGATTTACAGGAGTCTGTACTTTTCAGGCTTTTTGTAAAAATTTTTTAAACTAATCTGTTTGACTAGTTTGTAGAGAAGTCTATCACACTTCCTTTTTGTTTACTGATCACCAAGTCTGTGTACTGCATGTTAACGCTAAAGGTGTTAAGCTATAGAAATCATCTGGTGTTCTGCAGACATACTGAATTTTCCCAGTAAATGTAGCTTTCTAGTCTTTTACATTGTCATTACACTGAAGTATATCACAATCATTGCATGTACTCTTAAAATACACAAATGACAGAATGAAAGGGAACAGGGAATTCTGTAATTCAAGCACTGGTTTTCATTTTTCATCAGCTCTGGTGGTGGTACACGATAGGAAGTTAGCCTGTACTGATTGCTAACACAGATCACTTTTCTGTTTTCTTCACTTGATTGCTGCAAGTTTAACAAAGTATATGGCTCTTCTCCCTTCCTGCTTGGGTAAGATGTACATGATAATACCTCAGTTAATTCCTGCTCTTCTGTTGCATGAATGCTTTCTAATTTTACCACTGTATGTACTTCTAACTTTTTTCTAAAATTTTTACAGTCAAAATAGAGGATTGGGTTTTGGGTTCTGAATATTTTCAGAATATATATATTCTCAAAAATTTATGTTTTCAAAAGCTCTGAAGTAAATTTAGTACTTCAAGAGTGACCGCTTGTGTGCTTTTGCTTTCATTCTTTGAGGTTTTAAGAAAGAGTTTGCTGTGATGCTTTTTTAAAGCTACCTATTTTTGTTTTATAAATAAAACAGTAAATAGGTTGCATTATAATTCTTTCTATAAAACTTCTTGTGCTTAACTAACGCTTCCTGTCTTGCTGCAATTTGACATGTCTAACTTTTGCTTCTATCCCATTTCACCCATCTTGCAGGAACCAGGAGGGGTTGGGATCCATAGTTCATGATCGAAAATCTCAGACATTGCCTGTTTCCCGTAACAGAACAGGAATGATGCATGCCAGATTGCAGCAGCTGAGCAGCCTGGATAACTCTCTCACTTTTAACCACAGTAAGTCTCATGACATGATAACATTCATCATCCTCAACCAGTACCACAACACCAGAGACAGGTCCCAGAGCCACACCAGTGCATTTCAATGACTTTTATTGTTCTAGGTCAAGCAAATAGCTGGAATCGGTCGATGGCCTGTTCCCTGCCTTATGATAGAACAATCAATGCTGGCTGATGCCATAACATGGAGCATGGTTAACTACAGTGTATTTTAAATTTTTTTTTTTTTAATTACATGCACTTCAACTTTGTTCTGCACATAGTTACAAAATGTACTTATTTTTTCTATTTGCCTTATTAAGCTTCATTTTTTCCCCCACTTGGTCTTATAAATGATTAGTCTAAAAGTAAAAATGTGCACACTGACCATATCTCCATGTTTTGACATCCCCTAAGGAAAAATAAGTTTCTTAGAATTTCTATGGAGATTGTGAAGCCCATGATTTGGTTTGTCTAGAAGTGAAAAAGCGTCCAATAATGAAGTGATTTTTCTGTTTTCAGTGTGAGAAAGATATCAAGTATTCTTGGAATTTCTGTAGACAATGGTAAGATTTAATCAGGTTGAAGTCAGCTTGTATAAGACTGCTGTTTGGAAAACTAAATCTGCTTGTGGCCTATCTTTTTAAACATGCTGCTCTTAAATTGCAAAATATGCTGTATGTGAAGTATTCTGAAGCGCCATTTTTCAATTTTCAACTTCAAAAAACAATGAAACTGGTTGACTAATCCAGTAAAATACAACACTGGTACTGAAAAGAATTGTGTGCAGTAAAGCAATTATTTGAGTTAACTCTGTGTTCACTGTGTTCATCCTTTTATTTCCCAAAGCATATCTAACTGTCTCTTAAAATCTTTTAGCTCGTTATCTGTAATATAAAGCAACAGTTAGCCTAACTGCACAAGACTTATCACATAGTCTAGTGGAAAACTGAAAAAAAAAAAAAAAAATCCCACCAAACCTCTCTGTTTATAAATGCATTCTCATGCCTGTTTTTAAAAATAAGAAATGCAGTTATTTGATTTTAAAAATGTCAGAAAACTATATAGCTGTGCAAATTACTTTTTTTTCTTGTAATCAGTCTGCTACTGCTGTATCATAATAATTTCTAGATTTTCTTGATACACAAAAGAAAGAGCTTTTACACTACATGACTACACATTCAGCAAGGTAAAATACTTTGCAGATAAAAACTGATATTTTTTTTTTTTTTTTTTTTTTTTTTTTTTAAATCCTGGGAAAAAAAAAATCTCTGGGAAATAACTAACACGGCTGTTTCTGGGCCCTGTGCAAAGAGATTTCATACTTCCAGAACTACTTGGCAAAGTTTACTGATTTTTAGGAAACAGGGAGCTGAAAGATTTTAATAAATGCATGCTTATGTAAAAAGAAACTTTCTGTTCTTTTCCATCTGAAGGATATTATGAAGGAAGGTGTCTCATTCAGATAACTGCATAAAAGTGATAAGGGGGGGGGGTTTATGTTGGACATTTAATGATATCAGGATATTAGACTTGTATTGACTGAGGTTTTACAAAGTGAAAATATGTTGCTGTAAAAGCCATATCAAACATTAAATTGATTTTTATATCTTTGGTCTTGTTGTTGTCTAACTTTTAGTTTTGTTTAGTTGTCAGTCTGCCTGTATCATGTATCCAAAGTAGTTTTCAGAACTTGAATAAATCTTGTAGGTATCCTGTATGGGATACCTACAGGAAAGATGTATCTGGTGGAAATAGTTGCTTTACTTGTTTCTAAAACTGTGATTCTTTGGCAAGATAGTTTTCTATAAATGTAAATTATAAACTTAATTTTTCCCTTTCTAATCATTTAAGCAAGGAATAGAGCTGAAGTAACAGTGTAAGTGATATTTCACAGCTGAGGAATTTCAGTATAGTTCTGTTCTTAAGTATGAAAGAAATGAGGCCCTTTGTTCACATTTCTAAAGCATCTCGATACAAACTACAGGAATGTAGATGTATATGTGTATTGTTCAGGCTGAAGGAGAGGAGGATACTCAGTAGAATAGTGAGATGCAAACGTACTCCGATACAAGAGATATACGCTGATCTGTAATAGCAGAGTATGATCATTGTCAAGTTCATAGTCATTAGAGATTATCCCATTTTCATTATTCTTAGATCATTTTAAATTCAGTTACTCTGCAGTAGTGTGAATGTATGGGTGCATGTTCATGTGCATGTCCAGGCAGTTGTCCATGTTATATATGGTAATTGTAGTTCCATAGTTTTCTTTTTAAGTTACATGTGAAAAATAGAATCCAGTATGTTAGTTAAACATGAAGAATACAATATTAACTTCTCTAAAATAATAGAACATTGAAACAAGGATAGTTTTTAGGATGTATATGGAAAAAACACTGCTAAATCCGTCTTTCAAAGGAACACTCAATTCATTTAAGTTTACATCCTACCCAAAATTTCTGTCTCTAGTAATAATGCGGAGTAATCAATCAATGACCTATTTATTTGTTTGTTCTAAATTATTTATCTGAAGAACAAAATTTGAACTGTTTGGAATCCTGTCCATTGACTACAATTTCTACTTAGTATTTACAATAAACCTTGCACCTTTCTTCTTTCCTGGAAGAGCAAACAAAGTATTTCTTTAAAGAATATTTCCCCTGTCCTCAGTGCGGTTCTCAAAATAGTTGTTATGTCTTGGTATCTTCAACATTACCAAACCCACCATCTCTTGGTATCTTCAACATTACCAAAACCACAGGCTAACTTAAGGATTCCTGGTCAAATGAAGTTGATTGCTATGAAAAAGGATTTTTCTTTGAATTTGGCAAACAGCTGGTGTGTTAAAACTTGCTTCCAAATGCTGGTTGTTCCTTTCCATCATTACAGGGGTGAAGGATGTAGTTGGATTGAAACCACAGAGAAAATACATGGGAGGAGGAAGAGGTGGAGGCAGAGAGAATGCAAAAGATGATAGGAAAGAGATGTATACTTCCTAACAGAAAGAATGTATAAATCCAAAGAAATTGGTGGTTATGAGGATGCATGCGTATTTCAGCCAGGGAAGCAAGAAGGTGCAGAAAGTGGCCAGGTGTCATTATAAAAGAATATGTCATTTCTTCTGTTCTTTTCTTGGTCTTAACAAGTTGATTTAGTGATGCTAAGTTGACTATAAATCTAACATGCAGAAATGATCCAGACCAAATTTTTATAAAGCAACCAGGGCACATTTGTCAATCTGGTTCTTAAAGATCAATGTTAGGGAACATAAACAACATACTATAACCAGTGCTGAAGCAGGATATATTTTTAGAATTATTTAAATACAGTATGGAGCTAGAAGCAAAAAAAAAATTTGATTAAATATGGAGTTATTGCATGGTATTGTTACAGAGCAGAATTAATTACTTGGGTCTTCAGCTGCATATTAAGTGCATGATTGTATTCCTTCAAAACTTAGTGTTTTGTATTTTTATAATGGTTGACTTATGATTGACTTTGAGATCATTATAATATAGTTAAATTACCAATACATATTTTCAGCTGTAACTCCATCCTACTGCAGTACTTATTTTAAGAATATATATGTGTATATATATAACTGTGTACATTTATATATATACATGTGTGTATGCATACATACACATATATATGAAACATCTATTGTTTTAACTGCTGTTTAATGCTTCTGTTGTTGATGTTTGTAGTTAATATGTTTTATGATCTTGTGCAAATTATATTAGAACAATTATATCCACATATTTGAAAAATATTTAAATACATATGAATTATTTTTCTGCATTGAATACTAACTTCTCTCAGGCTTTTTACTTGTTAATCTTTTCATAATTCAGCAAGTCTTTTGGAAATAAGAAACATTTAAATGAGTATACCCAGCACTTACACTTCATTTGGAATTTCTGTAGGCTATGGCCATTCAGATGCAGATGTTCTTCACCAGTCTTTACTTGAAGCAAATATTGCCACTGAAGTTTGCCTTACAATTCTGGATACTCTATCATTATTCACAATGGCTTTTAAGGTTTGTTCTTGACTTGGTGTTAACATCTCCCATAACTATCTTTCAGAAAAAAATATTTTTAAAAAATATTTTAAGATTATATTTGTATCTTATAGCTTAGTAATATAGCATTGTATTTTTAGCATTTCTAGCATTGTATTTCATTATTATGCCATGTAACAGCTGATAACCACGTGCAGCAAAATGCTTTGGCTTCCGTTACACATTGCATGCAGACTCCTTACTGATCGGCAGTAATCTGTGGGAAAAGCTCCTTCCTCATCCTAACTTCCTAAAAATATTTGTAGAAACTTTAGTGTCTACCTAATATTAGTGGTAAAGCTTTCTTTTAAAGGCCATGTGGGGTGAAAGATCTATTGTATGGCAAAACCATAATTCATAAGGGGACACTATCAGACTTTTATATTGAACTTGGCTTCTTCTTATATTAAGTCACTCATTAATTAACAGTAATTTTTGAGTGTTCCTTTTGTGTAACTATTTCAATTTGTCCACTAATAAGACTTCTTTTTAGTTGTATCAGTAACTGTAGCTCTCCTGTGGAATCTTTTTATAGCACGCCCACTTGCATACCCTTTCCTGTCTGGTTTTTTGAGCTTTTCCAAACATTAAAGGTGAAGCTATAAAAAGGAGAGAAGATAGCTCTAGCTGGTTTCTCCCCTAATTAGAGCAGTGTATCCAGATCCTTGCTTGAAGATTCAAATTTACTCTTATCTTTAATCTAGTTATGAAAACATGAGCTTATTTATAATGAGATTCCTTTTATTAGTAATTTAATTAGATAGAGTTAGAATCAGTTCTGTCCACAGACTTCATAACAGAATTGAAAATGAAGATACCTAGTTTTAAAGATTTAAAGAAGCATGAACACTAATCTTTTAGTTATCATCTGCCCATCATGCTTGGAATGAAAGTCTTTTAAGGTTATCTGTATGTAGTATGTTGAGAAAGTAGGTAAGACTATACCAGAATAGTCTACAAGATCCGAACAAAACACATAGGAAAATCAGGAGCTCCTATTCAATCAACTGCACTAAAATACATAAAATCACAGCATCATAGAATAGTTTGGGTTGGAAGGGACCTTCAAAGATCATCTAGTCCAACCCCTGTGGCCATGAGCAGGGCCATCTTTCACTAGATTACGTAGCTCAAAGCCCCATCCAACCTGACCTTGAACACTTCCAGGGATGGAGCATCCCCAGCTTCTCTGGGCAGCCTGTTCCAGTGTCTCATCACCTTCATTGTAAAAAAAATTCCACCTTATGTCCAATCTGAACCCACCCTCTTTCAGTTTAAAACTGTTGCCCTTTGTCCTGTCGCTACAGTCTCTCTCCATCTTTTGTGTAAGCGCTCTTTATATGTTAAAAGCCCTCAGTGAGGTCTCCCCGGAGCTCTCCCTTCTCCAGGCTGAACAGCCCCAACTCTCTCAGCCTTTCTTCATAGGAGAAGTGTTCTAGCCCTCTGACCATTTTTGTAGCTCTCCTGTGGACCCACTCTAACATGTCTGGGTCTTTCATGTACTGGGGGCCACAGAGCTAGATGCAGTATTCCAGGTGGGGTCTCATGAGAGCACAGTAGAGGAGGAGAATCACCTCCCTCGACCTGCTGGCCAGGCTTCTTGTTACGCAGTCCAGGATACAATTTAGTTTTCTGGACTGCAAGCATACATTGCTGGCTCATGTCCAATTTTTTCATCCACCATTATCAGCAAGACCTTCTCCACAGGGCTGCTCTCAATCTTTTCATCCCCCAGTCTATATTGATCCTGGAGATTGCCCCAGCCCAGGTGTACTTGGCCTTGTTGAACTTCATGAGGTTCGCATGGGCCCACTTCTCAAGCCTGTCAAGGTCCTTCTGGATGGCATGCTACAGGGAAGCCTCTAGCACATCAACTGCACCACTCAGCTTGGTATTGTTTGCAAACTTGCTCAGCGTGCACTCGATCCCACTGTCTGTGTCATGGATGAAAATATTAAATAGTACTGGTCTCAATACAGACCCTTGAGGGACACCATTCGTACGTCGTACACCACTCGGACATTGAGCCATTGAGTGTAACTCTTTGGATGCAGGCATCCCGGCAATTCCTTATCCTTCTAACAGTCCATCCATCAAACCCGTATGTTTCTAATTTAGTGGCAAGAATGTGGTGGGGAACCTTATCAAAGGCCTTATGGAAGTCCAGATAGACAACATCCATAGCTCTTCCCTTGTCCACTGATGCAGTCACTCCATCATAGAAGGCCAGTAGATTAGTAATAACCAATCTGCTTCTTTTGGGGAGTAATTAGCGTAATATATAGAACGCCAGACAACTTTTTTTTTTTTCAAGATCATCTTTCACTAGTAGTGATCCAGATCTCTGTTATCTATTGCAGCAGGGAAATCACAAGTTATGTCTACTTCTTGGTAGAATTTTAACTGATACTGTGTGAATTCCTACTATTCTAGGTGGTTTTAGTGAACTACCTACCTCTGATGTTGGGACATCTGAAGAAAAGATATTATATCAATTTCCTCATAATGATAGGGGTTTGTAAGAAGACGTTTCATTATTTTGGTGTAAATCTGGTAGTAGTAAATCTTACCATCTTTTAGAACTTGCAGTTAGGTGTTTAGGTTTGGGTCATCTACAGAGATCTGTATACTGTTCCAAGAGATAAAACTTTTTCCTGTGACCAAATAGGCTGACTGGCTTATATGCAACCATTTGTCTAGCTTCCTCTAAAATGACCTGCCTGGGGCTTCACTGCATAGCATTTGGAGATCTTTGGTCTCCTGCAAGCATTTGTATTCATTCATCCACAAAGCTTGAAACCACACTGAGTTCTTCTGGTCCGCAAGTCACATTATCAGAATGGCTTTTAATGGATGTCGTGGTTTAACCCCAGTTGGCAACTAAGCACCACACAGCTGCTCACTCACACACACCCTCCCTGCCCCCTCCATGGCGGGATGAGGGAGAGAATCAGAAAAAAAAAAAAGTAAAACCCATGGGTTGAGATAAAGGCAGTTTAATAGGACAGTGGAGGAAGATAAAACAATAATAAATAATAGAATATACAAAACAAATGATGCACAATGCAGTTGCTGACTGATGCCCAGCCAGTCCCTGAGCAGCGATCGCTGCCCCCCACAGCCAGCTCCCCCTAGTTTATATACTGAGCATGATGTCATATGGTATGGAATAGCCCTTTGGTCAGTTTGGATCAACTATCCTGGCTGTGCCCCCTCCCAGCTTCTTGTGCACCTGGCAGAGCATGGGAAGCTGAAAAGTCCTTGACTAGTATAAACACTACTTAGCAACAACTAAAACATCAGTGTGTTATCAGCATTATTCTCATCCTAAATCCAAAACACAGCACTATGCCAGCTACTAGGGCGAAAATTAACTTGTCCCAGCTGAAACCAGGACAATGGAGTACTGCCTCCTTCAATTTTTTAATATTGAGGAATGCATGAAATGCCTAGGGCTATGCTGAAATTCTTTAGCCTGAAGAATTTCTTCTGTGTCTCCATGAATAGAAAAGGAGACATCTGCAGGTAGACATCTCTTCCATGTTTGAGAGAGCTTCAGGCATGCTACAAAAGCGCAGGTCTATACTGGGCCTCAAGAATCTTTTTAAAAAATGTGTTAAACTAGATTCTTTGAGTTAAAATTACCTTAAAACTTACTTGAGATAGTAATGGAGCTGCCTTGCAGTGTACTGTTTGGGATGCCTGTATATAGCAACGACAAGGAAGAATGGAGTGTGCAGAGGGGAGTTGCAGAAGGTGCAAGACCTAGTGGGATCATGTTGGAGGGCCAGTGGAGTCAGAGGGAGCAATACTTGACGTGGTCCTCTCAGTTCTGGACTCCCTTGACTGGATTGAGCAGTCCCTGAATTGATTAACCTAGTTTGGTGTTTTGTAAGAGGAGAGACCTTGTCGTTTCGTCCTAGAGTCCCATAGGAATCTAGTGCATATGTTCAGTAATCAAAGGGAGAAAATGGGGTCCCCAGAGCAAAACAGAAGCGATATGAACTGGTAAAAGTAGATGCACAGCCAGTGCCTATGCTAGAGAAATCGGAAGAAACCAGATTTACAAAAAAAGTTTGGATGGAAGGCAGCTATTGGCGATACAGAAATCAAGAGTAACCCTGTGTATTGCATGCTTCAGAATGAGCTGTGGAATATTGATGCAGGTAAAACTCTGAAAAGTAACTAATACCTTCATCCTTAAGAGCCCTTTCAGTTTCAGTTCTAGGACAGTAATGCAAGATAGTGAGTGTGTGGGGGTTTGGTTTGGGGGGGAGGTTTTTTTGAAAGCATTGTAGTAGGAGGTACTGCTGTGAGAAAATTCCACTGTCTGAGCTGCTAAAGCCAGTGTAACCAAAGTGTGTTAATACTTTGAGTGTGCCTCTCAAGGAATGTTAATAGTAATTGATTTCATTAACAGCTGTTAAAAACAGTTGTATTCTGTAAGTCTATTCAGAAGCCAACACTTTCTTTATAAGCAAGATTAATGCAGTGTTAGAAATACCTAATTGAAATTCAGATATATTTGTATTATTGAACATCTTGGTAATACTATGCAGATTGTATTTTTTTAATATCCTGCTTTTGGATGATCTGTGTATGTTTTTAGAGTAGTATAAAAATATCACTGTACAAAACTCCTAAATTCTCACTATCAATTTAAAGAATCAACTACTGGCTGATCACGGGCATAATCCACTGATGAAGAAAGTATTTGATGTATACCTCTGCTTCCTTCAAAAGAATCAGTCTGAAATAGCACTGAAAAATGTCTTCATTGCTTTAAGGGCACTCATTTTTAAGGTAAGAAGTTTAAAAATAATTAATCTTAAAGTACTTATCCGGTTCTCTAGTTAACAATATACTATGTAAAAATGTAAGAATTAAAATCCTAAATTAAAATTGGTGAGTAAGTACTGATCTGATCCCAACAGTGTAGAATACTTGTCCTTTGAATTGCTGTGAAAATCATTTTGTGTCATGAACTACTATAGCTGTATATTTTTTTCCACAGTTTGGGTATATTAATGTATTTGCATATTTCTTGACATGCTTATTTTGTCAAGAACTGAAGCTAGTTTTAATTAATAACTTCTTTCTTTTCTACTTTTTCCTCAGTTTCCCTCTACATTTTATGAAGGTAGAGCTGATATGTGTTCTGCACTGTGCTATGAAATTCTGAAGTATTGTAATTCCAAACTGAGTTCAATTCGTACTGAAGCTTCACAGTTACTGTACTTCTTAATGAGAAATAATTTTGATTACACAGGGAAGAAGTCTTTTGTTAGGACACATCTGCAAGTTAGTATACTTCCTTTATTTTTCGTTTTTTAAATACTGTGTTTGTAGATGCACAGTTGCATACCAGTGTGCAAAGCCCCATCATATAAAGACATAAAAGAAATTTTGGGTTCAAGCAAGGCTGATACTATTTTAAGAGTAAGAAGATGGCAAGAAAAGTGTGTTCAGTACAAGGAAATACTTAAAAACAAATGGATGGCCCTGTGTTGTGTAGGAAGTAACTTTTATTTGTCAGTAGCAAATGTTCTGTTTTGTAGATGTTATTTTGATTGTTAAATGGCATACCCTGTTGCGCCTGGAGGAGAGAAGAATGCAGCAACAAGCACGTAGAAGTCTAAACTAAAATGAATACATAGAAAATTGTGTGTTCTGACAAAGCAGGGAACAATAGTTTACTACTATTATGACCTCTCGCTAGTTCACCTAGCAATCAGTCTTTAGAGCAGAGGATGCGTGTGCATTAAATTTACACAATTTTTCTTGCCTATGTTATTGCACAAGTAACTTGGAAAAAAAAATCAAATATAATTTTACTTCAGGGAATAATCTTCTAATTAAAAAGGACAAAAATTCCTTTGTAATTGCTTCATAGGTACATCTCAAGGGTATTTCATGAAATATGCACTAACAAGACATTTGTTTCTGTCAAGGTTATTATTTCAGTAAGCCAGTTAATTGCTGATGTTGTTGGAATTGGAGGAACTAGATTTCAGCAGTCTCTTTCCATCATCAATAATTGTGCCAATAACGACAGAATTATAAAGGTCTGGTTTTATTCTTCTTTCCATACTGTAGAAGGATGCTTGAAAACTCTTTCATAGCATCTTTTGCAGTTATGTTTCAACTTTTTATTATGCAAAGAATAGAAAAAGATAGTAGGTAACCTAACTTTTCCATGTTTTAGCACACTACATTCCCTTCTGATGTTAAGGATTTAACAAAACGGATTCGTACAGTACTGATGGCTACAGCTCAGATGAAGGAGCATGAGAATGATCCAGAAATGCTTGTAGACCTCCAGTACAGTTTGGCAAAGTCTTATGCTAGTACACCTGAGCTGAGGAAGACGTGGTTAGACAGCATGGCAAGGATCCATGTTAAAAATGGAGATCTTTCGGAGGTAAGAGGAAAAAATCAAACTAGTTTTAGCTTCATAATAAGTTTAAGCTTATATCTTTATTGAAATGGAATGTACTATATGTAGTTGCTAGTGTCCAATACAATAAGCATTTTTAATAAATTTTGAATTGTTAGTAGATTAGTTTCTGATAAGTTTTTGTCCTACCCAAGTACATCTGTAAATCAATTCTGATTGCTAATGTAATGTACATGTTTAACTACTGTAGCTGACATGCTACTAAGCCAGGAACGCTCAATGCAAACCATGGAAGACACAGACCTTCTACTTAAAAATATCTTTGTTATCAGTTGCTAAAACACTTAAAGCCACTCCTTGAATTCCTCTCCAGTTGTCTTTACAGAATTAGCTTGATTCTATTCCAGAATGCTTACTAAAAACTCCTAATGTTCTTAAAATTGACAAATTGCAATTTTTTTGTTTGAAAAAAGAAAGCTATCTGATTTAACTGTGCTGTTAAAACACTTAATTCTAGCAAAAAGGAGAGTCGGGAGTGGGATTTCTTTATGTCTTGATGTAATTGTTTTATCATCATACAGAACAAATTTTGTCTCTTTCTGGAAGTTCGTTCTGTCTGAAAGTAAATCATGTTGCATGACATTATTGAATTTCATAAACATGTCTGTTACTTGCTTACATGATGCTAAGTTTAAATGTCTCCAAGAAGTAGTAGCTGCTGTATTACTCATGTCTTAGTACCAGAATTCTGTTCTTCTATATGGTAGCAACACAGAAGGCATATACAATACTCTGTTATTAGCTTGTATTTTGAAGGAAACAACGTCAGCTCTTTCAGAAGACAAGCTCTTTTAGTCCTTTTCAGGTCTGTTTTTTGAATACAAAACTTAAAATCTTTGACTGGTATGACTAGATGAGAGCCTCTGTAAATCACCAAGCCCAACAAACCCATACAAAGTATGAATTGGAGAGAATTTCTGGCAGATACTTACCTTTTTCCTTCACCTCCAGTGTCTGAGACTCTGCAGCCTCCATATGTAAGCTGTTCTGTTGAAAACTACAGTTAGAATAACACTTTGCTGTAAGCCTAAATCTTTTTAGTGAAAGAAGAATCTTAACTTTTTTTTGTCCTGTGAAGAAAAGTGATCAGTGTCAACTTCATAAAACATTTCAAATATTTGAAGACGACTCTGTCCCTCTTCTTTTTCTTCTGTTTGCCAGACTACACCAACCAAATTCCTTCAAATTCCATTCATAGGTCAGATCTGATCTCTTTTTCTTTTGCTGCTTTCAAATGGTCTGTCACCATTTTTTTCTACGTTTTTCTTGGTCTGGAGCCAAAAGGAAGACAAAACAGGTTAGCAGAAGAACCATCAAATGTTGAGCAGAATAATTAATAGCTCTCTTGTTTCACATAACACTTAAAATACATCCCCAAAAGAGATTTGCCTGTTCTTATTATAGCATGGCAGTCCTACCTTCTAATTTGTGATCTGTGGTCACTCTCAGATTGTGTGCTCCTGTCCATGCTACTCAATGCTCTGGTAAAGAAGGAGTGAGCGCTCTTGCATGGTTACTGTTTTACATAAGTGAGGTGGAGAATTCTTACAGCAGTCATAGGACGTCTTCTGCAAAGCAGCAAAAAGGAAAACCAAAGAAATTATCTCAGGCTAGGGCTTTTCTTATATACCTTGTTTTTAGTAGTTCCATTATAATTGTAATTTATAAAATTGTTACTATTTCTGTTTTAGGCGGCAATGTGCTATGTCCATGTAGCAGCACTGGTTGCAGAATATCTCACACGAAAAGGTATGATTTTGAAATCTTACTTTAATGTTTATATTTTTTTCATTATAGTTTAGGAAAAGCAATAGTTTACCCAAGGAAGTTGTAGGCATTTCAGTGTTCACCAAGGAAAAAATTCTGACCTAACCAGATAGCATACGCACATATTTAAGAGTATATTTGCATATCTAAGGGGCAGCATTTCACCTGAAAGTAAAGTAAAATTTTTAGGAAAGTAAAAATTTAAATTTTACACCGGAGCTGCTAATAGCTGAGGTCAGACCCTTTCTAAAGCAAGCTTATCAGTGAATATTCTTGTTCAACAAGTAGTCTCTCACAGCATATATGGAAATCTGGCATTGCCAGAGAAGGCAAAATAAATTCGTACAAATTTTCAAATGCTGAGTCAGTGGTAATAGTGCTCAGAATGCTTCACCTGTCTCGGTGTTCTGTGCTAGCAGCTGTCTGTAAGAGCGGGTTTCTGATGACTCTTGAGGTAGGGTAGTAGAAAATTCTTTCATCTATAGGATCCAATGAGTTCTCAGTCAGGGATTTGAGAAAATAAAAGATTATATGGCTTTTATTAAGAAAAATAGATCTCTAGAAGAAAACTTCAGAAATCTGTTAAGACTGATTATAATGTTGAGCTAGTGTTTTGTTGTTGTTACTATGTCCTCTTGAAAGCCTGATAGCAACTGACTGATAACTAGTGATAATCTGTATTAATTTGTGATTCCTTTGGGTGCTCTGCTATTTTTGTCTACTGTCGTGTGAAAGTTAGTTCCTCTCCGTAATGCAGAGAGTCAAACTTCTACCTCTGGTATTTCCAGGAGCCAAACAAAACCATGCATTTGAGGCAATCATTCAATAAAACCTCTGGTCAGACTCCCACCTGAGCAGAAAGAATCTTTGTAGGACTGAGCTGTGAAATAAATATGTGCAAGTCCTTGTGCTTCTGTGGTATTTACTGATTGCTCTTGGGGCTTTAATTAATACAGTTTTTGGCCAAAAATCCTGATTTCTTAATTAGGCAATTGATGTAATAAAAAAGAGCTAAACAGAATGGGTAAAAGAGGTAGGATTCCTGTTAGAACATTCTAAACCCCATTTTTGCTAAATATTTATTTCAGTAAAGGAAGTTAGATTGCTGGGTGGTTGTTTGGGGTTTTTTTTCTTGCCTGTAGACTTGCTTTCTGTATCTACAGCTGAATAATCTGGTTTGCCATCCTTTGATCATTTTGTATGGTTGATGTCAGTCCATTCATATTGTTCAGACTGGGAAAGCTGATGTGCCAGGGCCCATTTGTGTACACAGTTCCAGCATGACTTCACGTGGGTTTTTAATTAAATACTGTAAAAGTTACCTTGATTACCTTAGGCTTAGGGTGGGGTAGATTAGACATAGGTTTAAGATAAAATAGGAAGATTCAGACACTACTTATTTTGGTAGGTAAGAGTCCAGATATTGTGGTTTTAAAAACTCATTTATATTTACACAGTAATGTGAGCTCTAGTATTTTAATCATGTAGTAGGAGGCTGGATTTATTTATTTTTTTAGTTATTTGATGGTAAGTATATTTAAATATGGCTTGTGCCTTATCCAGCATCACAAAATGATCCTGGTGGAGAAAAGTAAATTTGTCTATTTTTCTTTTTTAATGACAGGGATGTTTAGGCAAGGTTGTACTGCTTTCAGAGTAATCACTCCTAATATAGATGAAGAGGCTTCAATGATGGAGGATGTTGGAATGCAAGATGTTCACTTCAATGAAGTAAGTAAACGTAAGAGTGTTAGAATTGATGCACATTGAAGTGCTGTTTATTTTTCCAAGTTTCGTGTTTCAATCTGGAGGCTGACTAATACGATGGATATTATAATTGTTTTCTTAGCCACTATTCTTATCCTAAAACTGAAATAAAAAATTTCTGTGAGCTGTCCCAGCTTTAGAGAATTTACTATATACATATATCTTAAATAAAGCACTAGCACATCAACTCAACACCACTACTGGAGTAAAAGTAAACAAAACGGGTTTTTAAGCTAGTTGACAGGATGAACACTAATGTGGCTTATTTATGAGAGTTAACAAGATCTGGTTTGTTTTTTTTTTAAAACTGACTTTGATTTAGATTGCTACAACACGAGCAATCATGAAAATGTATCCACTGGTTTTTGCTGGTTTCCCTAAGCAAATATGCTCTAACAATGAAAGTGGTTTTACTGACACTAGACTTGCGTCAATGTTGGGGTGTTTTTTCTGGCTTAAGTTTCACTCCTTGTGTCTTCACTGATCCATCTGTGCTGACTCTACAGTAAATTTTACTATTAAGAAGCCTATATAAAATATTATGAATAATCTTGCTCATGAAGAGCTACATGTAAACTATGTATTTGCCAGTATAGGTGAGGGAGGGAGGGACAGACCACTACTTGCAGTAGCTGTGTTGGAAAAATCACTGGTGTATAAGCATAATTGTACAACAAAAAATATTTTTCTTTTGTGTTTTAGTTTGTATATGGCAAAGGTGTATGACAAAATTATTTGACTGTGCAAATTGTGGCTATACTAACAGATTTAGGAGGAAGAGATTAAAGACTTAGTGGTTTAAGCCTGGGTTTAGGCCTAGGATACCTGTGTTTTACTCCTAAGTTCTGGTACTGCTTTGCTCTATAGTTTTAAGGCAAATATTGTTGACTTGCCTGTTTCTGGGAAGACAGGAGTTGGAATTACTTGAAATGAGAAATACAGTGCTGCTTCTTTCCAAAGACACTCAATAGCAGATTGCTTTTTTGACTTTATGTGCTATATTCTTTAAACCACTGATTCTCCTGATCCAGCGTGGAATTTAGCATGTTACTCAAAGCAAAATGTAAGCTGCTTGAAGTGAGCCAAGAGTTGGGTTTCTAGTGACTACTGCTGATGGGAAACTGTTAGAAATTATTGTCAGTGTCTACCTGACAAACCATTTGTCAGAGCTAAATTCTTTTGTATTTTTTAAATTGGAATGTCTTTATTCTTTTTCTCATTAGTCAGTCCCTGCAAAAAGAATATACTGCTTTTTCTGGGTCATTGAACCCTACGCAAATTTATTTCCATCTCTCAGTATTTCCATGGAACGGACATAAGCCAAGATTGAAATTATAAGCCTGTGGAGCTTGCAAAAGGATCAAACCTTGCCAAATTTCATTTTTCCCTGCATGCAACCCTTTTTAGACTTAACCATGTAGTACTCTAACTGATTAAATATTGAAAAAAGTTACTATTTTTCAGATAACTTCTTATAGTTCACTCCAGGAAGAGTAATAGTAGGGAAGAACTGTTTGGTTTTTAGTAGACTAAAAATCATGGTTAAATTAAGATGACTAGTATCTTACAGAAGTACTTCAAAACAGGTAGTCTAGTTGCTTCATGAATAGGAACATATTCATATATGGAGTGTTTCCTCAGTATGCTCTTACATAAGCAAAACTCTATTAGTCTAAGAAAAAAAAAATCATATGACAGATCAATTGGGTACAGAAATCAGAAAGCAGAAATGTGTCTTTCAAGCTATACGTTACTACTACTGAGCAAAATGATGCTCTGATGGGAATTCTTCCTATACATGGCAACAAGAGTCATGTGGAATTTCTTTCTTTAAACTTAGGATTTCCCTGGATGCTAGTTACTTTAGAGTTAAATATCCAAAAGAGTAATTGCAAGTATGGGGGGTTCAGGGGGGATCCCTCCATGTTTCTAAAAGAGGCAAAATGTCTTTTATCTTCTCCAGTTTATATAAAGTCTTCCCAATTAAGTGAAATTTGTCTTAAAACTTTACATAGTTTTTCATTTAAAAAATTGAAAATTTTAAAATTCTCTATTTAATTCTCATTTTAAAAGAAATCTCTCTCTGGCCAGGGTTATCCTGACTCATTTCTTAAACTAGCCAGTTGTAAAACCAAAATTTTGTTCTTTTTTTTTTTTTTTTAAACATGGTTGCTCTATGTGTTTCATTAAAACAGTTGTACCCAGACAGCCTGTTCAGTGGCACAAGTCAAATTGCCCTTGCAGAACTAAAAAATCTTCTGTGTGTCAGAAATAGGAAGGTAAAAACCTGGAGCCTCATATTGTTTCTGTGCTAGACTTTGCTGTAAGCAGTCCATCTGTAGAGATCTGACTTATGGCTAACAGGCCTGTGGCAGGTGCCAGATTCCATGCAGATTAAGGTTGGAAACAATTTCATTCATATTTGTTTTATTCCAAAATAAACTCTGCTAGAATACAGCTCTACCACAGATAGTAATTCAATCTCTACCTTCCTATTTGTTTTTTCTGGTCTCTCATTAGCTATGACTTTCCATTAGAGGAATCATTCTAAAATGCAGATTGGTAAATGAAAGAGCTTCACAGCTCAGATGGGATTATAACTCTTGTAAGTGATGAACATGCAGAGTAATTCAATATATTAAAGCACTTTATGAAAAACAGAAATAGGTACTTACCCAAACACACAAGATAGTTTAAGGATGGTGGTGAAGGCTGGTATTCTTCAGGGATACTCAGGCTAATATTGTTTAACATATTCATTAGCAATCTAGGTTACAGCATATCATCAAGTTTGTGGATGAAACTAAATGGAGGGGGACTGATATGCTGGGGGGCAGGGCTACCATTTAGAGGGACCTCAAACTGAAGGTACACAGAAGCCTCTCCAAGTTCTACAGAGACAAGTGCAAAGCCTTGCATCTGCAAAAAAATCACCCAGTGTCTCAGTACAGGCTGGGGACAGACTGGCTGGGCAGCAGCTCTGCAGAAAGACCTGGGAGTTCTAGTGGATAAGAGGTTGAATGGGAATCAGCAGTGTAGGTTTGTGGCAATAAAGGCCAACCGCGTGCTGGGTTGTATTAGAAAGAGCAGAGAGTCAAGAAGGTGGAGGGAAGTGGGTTTTCCCCCTTGTGCTTGGCATTTGTGGTGCCCCATCTGTAATCTTGTGCCCAGCACCACCCTGCCCCTGCCCGCCCCCCCGCCCCGCCCCGAAGTCGAGAGAGATACCAACAAACTGGAAAAAGCCCAGCTCCTAAGGTGATTAGTAGAAGAATCAGTGCGCCGTAGAAGAGTAAGGGGTGTTCTCACAGATTACAAGGGAAACTCTGGGTATGTGGAGAAAACCTCATCCTATGAGGATGGATAACACTGAGACAGGTGGCCCAGAACTATTGTGTTCTTTTCCTTCCTCCTAACAGCTCTCCACATGAAGCTTTTGCTCTTTGTATTTTTTTCCTGTGTGCAAACAAAATTTTACAGCTTTGCTGCATTTGGATGCCCTCTGGTGTCTGAGTTAAGACTCTTCTCATAAAACAGTGTTTGTAGACAGCCTTTGTGGTCCAGCAGTGACACTGCTCTTTCAGTTCTCACCTCCTGGTTGCTGAGGATGGAGATGTTGGGGAGTCTATACAACCCCGTAATGACTGGAGGAAAGGAGGACATGTTTTAGGGACCATTGCAGCACGTGAATAAGGGTAGCATTTTTCAGTCTTTATTTTGCTCTCAGTATTAAAGTTGGCTTTTCTTAGTGATGTCTTTATGCTGTCTTAGTCCTCTACCAAAGGGAGGAGGGGAACAGAGTAGCACTGGATCCCTTCTAAGGATAAAAGAAGTTATTTCCAGCTTCTGGCTTCACCACCACAATGCAAGAGTGGTACCAGAAGGTTTCAAGAATTAGAAATGTCACGTCTTCTGACACCTGTCAGTCTCAGACTTGGATTCTCGTGGAGGTTCTTGGAGCTCCAGACATGACTGAAGAGGACTGAGATCTGTTAGGGTATGTGGATGTGAATGGGCTTCTTCACCGTGGTTCTGTCACCTCAAGCCATGACCAAGTATATGACAGCTTCATCACAGGAGCTATAAGCTGTTCCATAATATCTGTAAAATTGTTTTGTTATAACTGAGTTAATGGAGTTAGCCAGGTAATTTTAAATTTATGAAAATTAGAACAAAGTAATAATGTTATCTTAGCCACATTACACTTATTGAAGTAGAAGAAATTAAATGCATGGAAAATAAAGAATTATGACAAACTGAAGGAAGGGACTATATAATTATGATGTAACTGCTCTAATGCAAAATGTATGCCTCCATTCTAACATACAGGTAAGCATAGTTCTTATTTAACCTTAAATAACTATCTTTTTTTGCTACGAGGATATTGGGGTCAAACCCAGGAAACCCAAGGTGTTTTCTTGCTTGTGACTCTGTTTTGACCCTTCAGGATTTCTCAGCTTCTCTAACTGTTGTTATGTATCTTTTCATTCTGGGCTAAGTATAGCAAATTCCACTGTTGTACCTTGATAATTACTTCTGAGTACAGATTTTGGTATTGTATCTTTTTGTTTCATTGTTAATGTAATTTGTTTGATAATTTCCTTCAGAAGTATTACATTCAAGTGTTTGTATAGCTGCCTTTTTAAAATAACGTTCTTTGTGCAAAACCAAAAAAACCCAAGGAAACAACACCTTGAAAAAACATGTTATGAGGTAAGACAAGTTTGGGTTCTCATACAGGTGTCATTTGGAGGCTTAAGAGGTCAGGAGTATCTGAAAGAAAAGTGCTGTTCCTGGTGAATACAAAGAGTACATGTGTACACTCAGACCATTCTGTTTTGTTTTGTTTCCTTTTAGCAATTTTTGATTGCCACAATGATTTAAATTACTATATGTAGATAATTTAGTTTTGAGGCAGGATCTCCTTTTTCATTGGGAAGAACTTTGGTATAATTATTTGCCATGCTTTTCATGAGTACTGAATTATTTTACATTTTCTAATGTGTATCCAAATCTAGGATGTGCTCATGGAATTGTTGGAGCAGTGTGCTGATGGACTCTGGAAGGCAGAACGCTATGAACTCATTGCTGACATATATAAACTTATAATTCCCATCTATGAAAAACGGAGAGATTTTGAGGTAATAAATTCACCATAAGTAAATTTGAACAAGAAAAAAAATCCTGCTTTTTCTAGTCTAACTGCATGACACATTGCACTTCACAGAACAAGAGTATTACAGTTGTAACTGAAATATCAATATGTTGAAAATTTTGTTTTAATTTTAAATAACTAAAAATGTTTTTCTTTAAATATAAATAATTACAAATTAATATTACATATTGTCATTATGATACAAGTGCTAAACCTATTACTACTCTTCAATAAAACAATGTTTCTAGTTATTAACTACAAGGACATAATTCTTGTTGTTTTAAGATAAGGAAGTCCTATGTTATTCTTTTACCCCATGATTGTTTTCTTTTATTTTTAGAGACTTGCTCATTTATATGACACTCTTCATCGAGCATACAGTAAAGTAACAGAAGTTATGCATACAGGCAAGAGACTGCTGGGAACTTATTTCAGGGTAGCGTTCTTTGGACAGGTGAGTATTATTTAACTTACATTTGTCTGCTCTATGCAGTAAGAAATACCTGAATTTATTTTACAAGGTATACTATTTCGTCATCCATACCGATACCATGACATAAAAACCACAAGAAATATGGTCTGTAAGAAATAATTAAACACCATCAATAATATAGTTTAGAACATGTAATTCCGATACAGTTCTTCCTTATTTTCCTCAGTAAAATTTTTGCATTTTTTTCTTTTTCTTCTTTTATTTACTACCTTAAGGCAGCGGTAAGTTTTCTATAATGTCGGTTCTTAGCAATGTATTGACTTAATGTCTGTAGTGCTACAGTGTGGTTTGCAAGGCTGCTTCTTAGATTGGTATGCATTAATAGCCATTGCAATTAAAAAAAAAAACAAAACCATTAAGTTCCATTTAGAGAACAAATCACTCTTTTCTATGCATCAGTATTGCATGCTTCAAACAAAAGTTCTGGCTGTGTATTGGACAGCTTGACATCCTCTAATGTATGTCTAGAATGCCTATGTGTCAGTATGGTATCACACAGTATCAAGTAATACACTTTCTACATGCATAGCCCAGTTGCTAATTGTTCAGCTGAGCATGGAGAATTGTAAAATACTCTGAGCAGTATAACTTTACATGTATTCTGTTGTCTTTTATAACTTTATAGCAATACCAGTTTACAGACAGTGAAACAGATGTTGAGGTAATTACAGTAACTGCTTACAAAGCAAGCAATGCAGTAAAAACTACTGCATTTCACCTTAGTTTGATGTGGGTATTTTTGTCAATCTAGCCTGTGTTTATACATGATATGTTGTGCTTTTCTATTTTGTCTGTTTTGTTTATGACAAAAATATTTATTTTGTGATTTCAAACATGAACTGGGACACAGCTTGTTGTTTTAAACCAATAACCTGTTTCACTTTCCATGCACTCTATATTGCATTTAGTTACGGTTTTAAAACAAATGCTTTATGTTGTAAAAATAAAGAAGTATATGCCAATATAGTACAACATAAAATTAATTTTTTTACATAAATTAAACTTCATTTTCTGGAATTAATTTTTTATTACTACATAAAGAATTTTTTCAGGTTTTTTTATGTAAACCAATGCCAAAATACAGACTTGTGAATCAGATAGTCCTACTGGGCAACAAGATTTCTGTTTTGGCAAGTGAAACAGTGCTTGAAAGTTCACTTTTATTAAAAGTGAAGAAAAGTTATCTCAAAGGCTTGGCACACCATAAAATTACAATAAACCTTTAAAATTTTAATTGTGTGTTTCCATTATCTTTCACTCATTCTGTAGTAGATAATTACATTTTCTGTTGGGTTTTTTTTTTTATTATTCTCTTAGGAAACCTTTTTTACTTAATTTTAATTTCCCTTTATTTACATTTGCCTGAATCCTGATGTTAAATGTTTATATTTGCTTTGTACTACACACATTATGCTCATCTAAATCATTGCCCTATGTGTTTTTTTCCCAAGATTTTGATTACTTCATTTTTTACAGGGATTCTTTGAGGATGAAGACGGAAAGGAATATATCTATAAAGAGCCTAAACTTACGCCTCTCTCGGAAATTTCCCAAAGACTCCAGAAACTCTACTCTGACAAATTCGGATCTGAAAATGTCAAAATGATTCAGGACTCTGGCAAAGTATGATCTTTATTCTCTCTAAAAAATTCTAATATATTACTTCCACTAATCCCCTTGAAATATTGTAGGATCCCTGTCTGTTACTCATTTGGTACACAAACAAATGTGTCTAAAGAATACTGGTTGAAGGGAATGAGAGAAATATCGTGCCCTATTAAGTTTCCTTTTAAGAACAACCAAAAAGCTTAATTTGCATAGTGTTACGTCTCAAAATATTAATTGTATCTTAGAACAAATTTGCATTATGATCATATCCGGTGTTATTTTTAGCTACATTTCTTGCCAATTCATGCACAGTCATTCTTTGGAAGCTTTTTCCTTTTCTGCACCTCAAGAGCAGAGTCCAAACTTTCCTCTGAAGTAAGAAACAGACCCTTCTGAGAAAAGTACCATATGTAAATAACACTTTAACTCTGTATCAGTTCTTCTTGCTATCCTTTGCTTATGTTTCTAGGCCTGTTCAATTTTATAAATGCTTAAACTGTAGAAAAAATATGCTCGAAATCATCTGGTTAAATCTAGATTTGTCATAGGAAATCCTTTCCTTTGTAATTGAAGGCTCCAAAACTGGTGAACTGAAGAGGGCTACAGTATCCTGTACACCGAGAAGAACACATATGGCACAAGATGCCTCTCTGCATTCCTTTTGTTCCCTTCCTCAGCCAGTTTTTGTTTGGATTCAGACTTTATAGTGATTTTCTCTTGTTATAATTTCCTGTCTCTTCTGTTCCTTGATTTTACCAGTAAGATCACAAAGCTCTGTGCTTCTTAGCCTGAAAGTGCAGCAATGGTGCGCTTTTCAATATTGGAACTTTAAAAGGAGAGGAGGACTTATGCAAGGGCTAGATTTCATGCCATGGAAGGCAAGAGATTTATACTGTAATCTCAGTTTTTCACAGCTCTTCCAGTATACTCTCCTGAATTCTTTACAATTAATTATAATGCATGTGTTTGTCAGCATTTGTACATTTTCTATCAGCTGTATCAGAATGAGTACATAAATTACCACGTAAGTTCCAGTCCAATAATCTTGAAAACATTGCAGATTTTAAAAAAAAAAAAAAAAAAAAAATCAAGCAGCATTTCCAATAAAAATGGATAACAGTGGGGGAGACCTTAGCTCTGTTCCCGGTTTGCTCCAGGAATTTCTTGGTGACTTCATGTGTGTATTTGCACTGTTGCTTTTCCCCCTTAGTTTATAGAAGTGAAATGGCTCAGAGACAAGAAGAGATAACATGAATATTTGGTGTGGAACTAAAATGGCAGGCAACAACTTCTAGAAAGATGCACAGGTTTAGGATGCCCTCTTTATCCCATGGTTGCCGGAATTTACGGGGGAAAAAAAGAATATCCTTGGTCAAAGACTTAGGAGGCCTTATTTGTTGGTACTGAGGACTAGTGGCTGCTTTTACCAAATTAAAGATCTGCCAGTCCATGAGGCTTTTACTCATCCAGTTCTAGAAACAAAATGAACTGAATAGTGAAGCCTTTAATTTGCCCTGCTCCCACCAGTATATTCTTTGGGATCCTCATAGGGTGTCAGAGTTGAGACAGACAGGTTGGGAGGAGTGCCTTCTGAAGGTGAGATCTAACTATTTACAATGTAGGGGTTTATTTTTAATTATTAACCTTTTTTATCACTAGCAAATTTTGGTCTCCAATCTGCTGTTGTATCAGTTGTCAAGGAGGACAAGTATTAGTTTCTGGGTTTTCTGTATCTGTGCCTTCCAGTGTTAATCATGGGTATAACTCTGTATTATGTTTTTGTTTGCAGTTCTGCATACAGAAATTATTGATAATGGGTGTTGGTTTTTTTTTTTAAAAAAAAAAAAGGCAAAAAAACGCCCGCAACATTTTGTAATGCATCTAGCTGTGTTGTCTTCCTAATAGTTAGAAACTGAATGTGGAGAAGCCCCATGAGAGCATTGTTTCCTGTGTTTTTAGTAATTTACACGTTAAGAGACGAAATTTAATTTCTGAAAGTTGTGTGACTACAATTAAATCCACTTTAGTCATAATGTAGCTATTTGAATTCTTTTTTGTCATGTTTTTCAGGTAAATCCTAAGGATTTAGATTCAAAATATGCATATATTCAAGTTACACATGTAATTCCATACTTTGAAGAAAAAGAGTTGCAAGAAAGAAAAACAGAATTTGAAAGGACTCATAATATTCGTCGCTTTATGTTTGAGATGCCTTTTACTCAGGCTGGTAAAAGACAAGGAGGAGTAGAAGAACAGTGTAAGCGACGGACTATTTTGACAGGTACTGACTGAATGGAAATTTCCTTTAAAAGAAAATTGCTTTTTTATTGTGTTTTTTATACTTAATTCTTGATACTAGGTTTTTCTACATGTGTATTTTGTCAGAAAAAATCCTGTAGAAGATTTAACACAAGGCTGTTGGAGGTAATAAGAATTGCAAAGGATACCAAAATACTGTTAGACAAAACAACCTTTCAAAATTAGTACATACTTAAAAATAAATGATATGCAAATACTTATAAATTACCATCTGAGAATACGTGTATCATTGTGTGATTAAAGATGTTTAGTTCAGTGATACAAAACATTTTATTGCACTTTTAAGGGACATAACTAAAAGTTATGGTGTGTTTGGCGATGTTTCTGTATAACGTGTGAATCTGAATTTGTGAAATAACAAGTTGCGCTTTGACTGGAAGCATTAATTCAAATGGTCTAACTCTCTTCTGTATGGGTTTTTCCATTTCACTTAGTCCTTTATAGCTGTCAGCTAAAATACTTCTCCTATTTTTAGCCAAAACTAAGTTTTCAGACTGGTTCCTTCAAGGGATAATCCTCAAGTAATTTTGTTTGGTTTTTTTCCATAAGCTTCAAGAATTGTGAATCTAAAGTCTAGCTTTCCTGGTTCTTAGAAAAAGCCTATTTTGTGTTTTGTCTCTGTTAAGTGTGAGCTTCTGTATCACTGTCTTAATATAGTGGTAAAAGCAGCTTAACTAAATGACTTTATAATGTCAGCTGTCCATAGCTAATACTTGTGAGGAAATAGAAAATACAGCTTTGCTATTTTTAATTCTTCTCCTTTTTGAGTTATGTGCATGATAAGCAATTCTTTTTACAGTTCTCATATGAATTAAGTTCCAGTGGTTTATTTCTTGGTTATTATTAGTAGCAGTGATGACAATGATCTTTCTTTGCTGTAATACATGTAAAGCTATGCATATTTACATTTTCAATATTTTGTTTCTCTGTAGATTTGGTAGTATTTCTAATTATATAATATGTTATTAAGTTGGGCAACTAATTACATCAAAATGAGATTTTAGCATAAAATTCTATCCAAACACACCTTTTTCTAATTACATTAAACTTGTTTCTGTCCACAGCTATACATTGTTTCCCATATGTGAAAAAGCGCATTCCAGTAATGTACCAGCACCATACTGATTTAAACCCAATTGAAGTAGCCATTGATGAAATGAGTAAAAAAGTTGCAGAACTTAGGCAGCTTTGCTCTTCAGCTGAAGTAGATATGATCAAATTGCAGTTGAAGCTACAAGGAAGTGTCAGTGTTCAGGTAAGTCCATATACTTTGCCATTCAGCTATTTCACTTGTTTCTGTCCCTGCAAAATTATATAAGTAGCATTTTATCATTAGTTTCTATTCTGTATATTCAAGAATGTCTTAAATTAGAAATATGCTCACTGTTTGCAATTATTTCCAGAATAGGAAAAGCAATAAAAATATTTCATATAGACAATGGTCATGGACAGTTACATGAAAGCATTAAGATTAATCTCTGGAATCTATGGTGGTATAAGCCCCACCAGGTTTTGGTGTAAAGCTGAAACTACCATAAAATAGTGACTTCCCATATGAGGACGAATGAACATGTTTTGCCTAGATATAGGTCTGCTCACAGTAGGTTCAACATGGTCTTTATTGCTTTTGTATTTTGGTCAGATCCCTATGGAGAGGAAGAGGGAGTGCCAAAATATAGGAGGAGGGTAATAGTAGAAAATTTCACTGCGCAACATTTCATTTTGCTGAAGGCAAGCAAGAACCGAATGTATAAAGAAATTATCAGATTCACCAAACTAGGGTACATAAAGCAGTTGTAGCATGTACAAATCAATATGGTAAGGGTCTTAACAATGCAGTGACAAAAGTACTGCTCTATTATTTTTAACTGGTTCAAAACAAAGGAACAGTAAACTGAGTTATCTGAAATGAACTGTTGTCATGTTGAAAGAAGATAAACAAAAACAAATAAACAAACAAAAAACCCCCAAACCCCAAACAAGATTCCAGAACCAGGAAGTTGTTAAGCTAGCGTTTGGGATGAGAAGGGAAGGGGCTTTTACTGTTAATATAAAAGCATAATAGGAATGAGCCAGAAATTGTTGAATCCACTTTTCGTGTAGGTGCCATAACAGCGCAACTACATTTCTGCAAATTATTGCAGAATTTTCAGCTTGGAAGAGTGTTTTCAATAGATAAGCAGACCAAACAGTAGTAGATTTAGCTCATTTTCCTCATTTTCCCACCCTGATTTCATAAAGAGATGACAAATTGACACTATCAGCAGTTACTTTGCCACATCTTCAAAGTGGTTTCTTTGTGCCAGGACAGGTTCATACAAGTGCTGTAGAGACCTCTCCTGCTTTTATGTTCCAACTCCAGAGTCATCTTATTTCATAAGTCCTGCTTTTTTGAAATCAGTGTGTTCTCCTGAGAAAAGCAAATAGGACACCTGTAGTATCTGTAATAGTTAAGACAGTATGTCAGAGAACTGACTTTATTTTGCTATTCTTGTTCTTTTTAGGTTAATGCTGGTCCATTAGCATATGCAAGAGCTTTCTTAGATGACACAAACACCAAAAGATATCCAGACAATAAAGTAAAGCTGCTAAAGGAAGTTTTTAGGTATGTTTTTTGAAAAAGAAAAAAAAAAAGATACTTTTCTCCAAGACTGATATCATAAGAATTTTTTTTTTAAAAACTTTTACCTTTTATAGTGTTCTGACTGCATTAAAAACATACTTCAAGCTGGCATTGTGAATTAATCTTTTGGATTTTGTATTCCTGATTGAGATCTCTTTTATTATTTTACCTAAATCAGGCAATTTGTTGAAGCTTGTGGGCATGCTCTGGGTGTAAATGAACGACTTATAAAGGAAGATCAATTGGAATATCAAGAAGAAATGAAGGCCAACTACAGAGAAATGGCAAAAGAGCTTTCTGAAATAATGCATGAGCAAGTATGTGCTGAAATTAAATTATACATACGAGCATTTAGAATGTAGCTGTAATGTGAACCCACTAGGAAAAGTGTATGTAATGCTTTACATAAAAGGATTGTTTCCTTTTTTTTTTTTTTCCTGTTGGAGTATAAGCATATCATGGAATTTTGGAACTTCCTCATTTTTTGCCCTCTTTGTGAATTTTGTGCAGATGCTTTCTTGATCTTCAGAATTAAGTCTTCCTCATTAAGAAAGTAAATCTGGTTGGCACCAGCCTATTTTTTTGAAGGAGAAGACGACTACAGTAAAGATAAAACAAATTTAATGACATGAATGTATATGTCATTTTTACTTCATATGTGTAGTATTTACAGGGGTCTCTGTTCAGTGGCCCAAAAAGTTCATTTTCGTCTATACCTTCTGGTAACTGTAGGGGGATTTGATCTGCTAGCTTAGCCCTTTGTCTTCAGATTTTGGAGGTGTAAGTATTTACTTTTACAATAAAGAGTTAAACATCTTTCAAGAGGTATTCCAACACATTTTCTTGAGGGGAATCCACTACAGACAAGCTGGAGATATGAGAAAAGAAAAACCAGAACTCTTGTGGAGTGAGGTATAGGACCTTGCATTTGCAATCTCTGGTAGAAATGTCTCCTGACTTCAGAGGCAAGGATATTGTTTCCAGGACAGGAAGGGCTGAAGATTCATGCTTGATCCCTGCCTTCTTGACATTTTTATTCATCATATTCATCACTTCCAGTTCCTTTTCTTTCATCCACTGTCATTTGTATTATCTTTTCCCAGAGCCATAGAGTGGCTTGTAGTTCTTAACCCTCAAGAGTTGCATTTCTGGCCCACAAGAAATACCTGTGTTTTCTGATAATATTTTATCTTACAAATACATGTCTATGAGACTTCCTTAGATGTATGACCATAATAGCAACTTTTCTTAGTCTAGGAACCAATGCATCCTAGTCTGGATAATCAGGTGATACAAAGAGGAGCTCTTGAGTTTCTGTTGTCCATATGAAAACTATAGGCTTTACTCAGAAATCCAGTTGTACAGGAAAAATCAAACTTGAGACCTACCTGAGGTGTGAGGTGTTAAGTCTAGCTGACATTTAAATGCCGTGTTAATGTTCCAGCTTTTTTTCAGGATTGCATCCTTTCTACGTACAATGACTTTACCTATTTACTGTTTTTGACATCTCTTAAATTATTATCCAAGAAATACTTGCTCAAAAAGCTAGTCAGCTTGCTGGTATAACAGTTTAACCATAGGCTTATATAAGAAAGGTTTGCCTTTATTCTACCTTTGCTTAGATGGTTTCCAAAAGTTTCACGGTGGTTTTTTTTTCTGTTCAAAAATGTGTCATGTGTCTAAAGTTCACTTCACACGCTTTCTTGCTCTCCATTTCCTGATGTGGTTTTCTCAGGTACTGTGCTATGAGTAGCTCTCTGCTATGATATAATTATAGTGAAGCACAAGACTACAGCAAGCATATAGGCTTTATTTTCATTCCCTTATTGTTGTTATACCATCTCAGGGAAAAGCTTACTACAAAACTAACTTTTTTTTTAACCACTAATGACAGACAATATTGTGAAACAAGGTTTGTAGGGAGTGATGCCATTTTGTCAGAATCCATGTATTGTTGTGGGTTTTTTTTTTTTTAAAAAAAAAAGTGTCCTTCTGATATGCATGTAGAGGAAAACAGTTTTGAAAGATCCCTGGAACAGGAAAACAGATTGTGTAGGTTACAAAAATGAGACAGTTTGACTGTATTTCCATGTGATGTATCGAAAAGCAGAAAGCAGTGGAGGGTTTTAAAAAGGAGGATAGCTGATTGGACAGCTGATTAAGATGAACGAAGTACATGGGAGAATTAGACAGATGTGTAGAAGACCCCTTCAGAAAAGAAAGGAAAATGTTTTGGTCAAATAATTTAATGATAAGGATAATAAATGAAAGATTAATGTTCCTCTGGTGTAGGAGAAAGGAAAAGGATATAATGACAGTTTGTACACAAGAAAAAAATACTCTGAACTCAGTGCAAGATATCTATGTTTAAGAAATGCTCAGCTGTGTGAGTTTCCAAAGATTGGCAATAAGAAAAAGCATCTAATGCCGGAAACTTCAGGAATACACATTGTCTAAAAGTAAACAAAGAGAAGGGGCAAACAACTGATACCTATAAGGTAGTGTGAACAGAATATGAACGTGCAGCACTGACTGCAGTAATATGTACTATTAGCCTACCACTGTGTTCTTTTTATATAAATGTAATTAGTTGTAAATAATTAAAACATGCTATATTGTTGGGTTGTTTTTTTAAAAAAAATTAGATTGATCACTCCCCTGAAGGCTTAGAATCATGAGACCATTCACTGAAATCTTTAAAAATGTCACCTTTGTATGCCTGCCTATTGCTGTATTTGGAAAAAGCTTCTCACAATGTTTGTTCTAATGTCAGTGGGAAAAAAAAAAAACTTTTAGCTGTCTTATAATAGCATGGATTTTAAACAATTGCAAAAATTTTGTTATGAAAAATATAGAAAAGAATCTTAACAGATTTTTGTTTTTTCTCCTCTGCTGCTTGCCAATATGATCAGATGGGATGGTAATTAGTTTTCTTTACTTCTGCTCTTAGTTTGTCTAATCTTTATATAATTCCTTTCTTTCCAATATTTAATCTTAGCATCAGTATGTTAAGAATGAAGTCTTTTTGGTGCTTTGATAGCTTTTGATAAGAAATGCACAAATCATACCTCTAAGTAAAAAAAAAAAAGGGGGGGGGGGGGGACAAAGACCAGCACAG